TGACCGAGGAGGGTAAGTCAATGCGGGAGGAAGCCCAGAGGGGGAGGTTTTCAAATGACTCCAGGGCAGCAGAGAGGGAGGGGTGGGAGATTTTTTTCCAGGGGCAGTAGGAGACGGAGGTGGGTTGGGTGGTGGTGGGGAGAGGGATTGAGGAGTTAAGAGAAATCAAGTGGTGGTCTGAGATGGCTGTGTCGGTGATGGTGAGGTCCGAGATGCCGAGGCCCCAGTTGGCCACGGACATGGGTGGTAGTAGTGGATGGGGAGGGAGAGATTGTGAGAGTAGCGAGGGAGGTCAGTGGAGATAGAGCCCTATGAGATGACATGCAGGTTGAAGTAACCAAGGATGAGGAGGTGTTCGGAGCAGAGGCAAAGGGAAGCCGGGAGGATGCAGATGTCAGAGAGGAAGGTGAGGGAGGATTTGGTGGTGGTGGTGGTGGGGGGCAATAAACAAGGAAAAAGGGAGCGGACATTTTGTAGTGTAGTGGTAATGCTTTCACATGTTTAGCAATGAGCTGCCTTGCCCACCGGGAAGCTTGCAGGGAATTCCAGACACTGGAATATTCCACTCAGCTCCCATTAACCCCCTGCGAGTCAGAGGCCCCGACGGGGAGGGTGGACCTCGCTGGACAAGCAGCGGGAAAGCTTTTGCCAGACGGCGCTCTCAACGGCAGACCCTGCGGTTTTTAGCCGCGTGGGAATCCAGCAGTGTCCCCACGCACACGCTGGGGTCCCCCCCCCCGGCCTTGGCTCCTGGGCTCGGCTGCTCGCCAGGCTGCCTCCCTGCAGGGGGGGGGGGGTGTTACACTCCAGTGCAATGGGAATCTCCCCGTGAGGCTGCGGGACATGGAACTGTGGTGGGGATGTTCTGAGACACGGTGACGGGTGATCGCATGTGTCAGAAACAAACCTCACTTTCTCTCTGTCACTCTGTCTCTCTCTCTCTCTATATATATATAAATATACGGACATGTTACTAACTTCCCGTCTCTCTGTCCCTTCGCTGTGTCTCTGGTTTCTATGGTAACCGAAACCGCGGCGTCACTTCTCTCCATGGTGCCGGGCACCGCGCCGCACCGTCTCCGGCCATTGGCCGCTGTGAACCGTTGCCCTCAGCAAGCGGCTCTGTGATTGGTGCAAGCCGGGGAGCGTGAGGGGCGTGTGGCACACCGGACCGGGGATAGCATGGAGGCGGTGAGTGGGGAGAGCGGCCCTGACACACACCGACACACACACCGACACCACCAACACACACACCGACACACACACCGCCGCCACCAACACACACACCGACACACACACCAACACACACATCGCCGCCACCAACACACACACCAACACACACCGACACACACACCGCCACCAACACACACACTGACTCCTCTACACTGACACCAACACACACAGTGACTCCTCTACACTAACACCAACACACACAGTGACTCCTCTACACTAACACCAACACACACACTGACTCCTCTACACTGACACCAACACACACACTGACTCCTCTACACTGACACCAACACACACACCAACACACACACTGACTCCTCTACACTGATGACAACACACACACCAACACACACACTGACTCCTCTACACTGACACCAACACACACACTGACTCCTCTACACTGACACCAACACACACACTGACTCCTCTACACTGATGACAACACACACACCAACACACACACTGACTCCTCCACACTGACACCAACACACACACTGACTCCTCTACACTGACACCAACACACACACTGACTCCTCTACACTGACACCAACACACACACTGACTCCTCTACACTGACACCAACACACACACTGACTCCTCTACACTGACACCAACACACACACTGACTCCTCTACACTAACACCAACACACACACTGACTCCTCTACACTAACACCAACACACACACTGACTCCTCTACACTGACACCAACACACACACTGACTCCTCTACACTGACACCAACACACACACCAACACACACACTGACTCCTCTACACTGATGACAACACACACACCAACACACACACTGACTCCTCTACACTGATGACAACACACACACCAACACACACGCTGGCTCCACTACACTAACACCAACACACACACCAACACACACACTGGCTCCTCTACACTGACAGCAAGACACACACTGACTCCTCTACATTGATGACAACACACACACCAACACACACACCAACACACACACTAGCTCATCTACACTGACACCAACACACACACACTGGACACTGACACTGACACACACCAACACACATACTGGCTCCTCTACACTGACACACACCAACATACTGACACTGAAATACACCAACACACTGACACTGTTGTGTGTGTTGAGTGTGTTGGCTCCTTAACACACACTGATACACACCAGCACTGTCTCCTTTATACACACTGACACTGACACCGCCGCCTCAACAAACACTAACACTGGCTCCTCAACACACACCGATACTGGATCCTCAACACACACTGAAACTGGCTCCTCAACACACACTGTCACTGAAACTGGCTCCTGAATACACATTGAAACAGTTCCTGAACACACACACTGACACTGGCTCCTCAACACACACTGACACTTACTCCTCAACACATACTGGGATCAAGTGTAAAGAATAACCCATCAATTTACATTTAGAACTTTATGCAGCGTGGTCTTTTAAATTGTGAGAACAACTGGTAATATTCAACTGGGATTATAGAAATAGAGGGAATAGAAAATAACTAATTAAAAGAAATGGGACAAGAGCAGAAAAGTAAGATTAATGAAAAGATCAACTGAAAAAACACAGGTAGCAGAAAAAAAACATGGTGCTTAAAATTTGTATGGTTCCATAATGGAGACCGTGAGTGTTAATTTAATCAGATTACGTTAATTTATATTCAGAGAGGTAAATACCCGTTCGTGCAATAAACTCCAACAACAACAACTTGTACTTATATAGCGCCCATCACGCAGGATAGCATCTTGGAGCACTTAGAATAAAAAATAAGGCAAGGTGTGTTTATTTATTGAAAAGGAAGTTAAATAAATATGTTGTTGAACAAATCGAAGGTTATGAGAATACATATAGACATCAATAATAAAATATTGCCTGGATCATGAGGATTTCAGTTCTACAAGGGCATGGAAATACAGATATAATAATAATAATAATCCTTGCATTTCACGTCTTCTAGAGTTTAACAGTAAACACCTGATAGCTCGGCACTCCAAGGGAAAAGTTATCAGGAGTGACGAGTTTGAGGAGTGGAAAGTTAGGGATATTTATAAATACATCAATAAATACAGCTGGGATATTGACAGCTTTTACGGTAGCGACTTTTTGGCCAGGGTCAAGTTATGAGGAGTTTACTGTACCTGTGGAATATGGTTGATTAGAGTTGGATAACGTATATTGTAATGTTCAATTGTTAACCTAGTATTTTGTATACATACTTAGGAAGGCGGGAGGAATCTTTCAAAGGTTTATCTTGGAAATTTACCTGTGGTTAGTGAAGAAATTGGAGCCAGCAACAGGCCACATTACATATTGTCTGAAACAAACAAGGTAACTGCGCCAATTGGTCTGACACGATTCACATAACCCACCACAATGATCAATTTAAACACAACTTTCATATGTTTCTGTTCAGAATAAGATACATTCATCATATAACACAATGTAATAAGCATAATTTATAATATATAGTAGTAACTAAATTGATCAATATGGTAGGTTGTATATAAATAATTAATTCTTCTAGATTGTTAAATTATTTACACCTTGTTATTAAACCCAGCCTTACTGAATATAACAGAAACATTATGAGGCTGGCACAAAGGCTGATCTGTGTAAGCAAAGTGAATTTAAGATCTTTTTTCTTTAGGTAAGATTAAATAAAATGTTATTAGTAAACAAAATATACTCTTAATATTTCAAAAAATGTCTGTAAAATAGATTTTGTATTATGCTTATTTAGTTAACTTATCATAATGACAACAACAACAATAAAATTACATTTGTATAGTGCCTTTCATGTCAGAAGACGTTCCATGGCATTGGACAGTCAGTGTTTCGAAGCCAAGCTGGGGGTTGGGATCGGGGAGGGTGTAGGTCTGGGGGGATGCAGAGTCATCGAAAGCACGGTTGAAGAGGAGGGTCTTGAGATGGGTCATTATGATTATTGATTTAACGCAAATAGTTATGGTAAACAGCATAGAACTAAGAAAGTATTGTGTGAAAAGCTGTGTTTCGGTAGCTAGCTAATTATCAACAATAATGAATCTGATGGTTTTGGATTGTTAAATTATTTACACCATGTTATTAAACTGCTTTTTTATTGTAGTTTAGGTTTAATAAAGAATTATGAATTAACTTATTTAACTGTAACCAGTATTTTTTTTTATTAAAATGAAGCAGTTCAAAAGTAAAACTGTTTTAAGAATAGTACTTTGGATGAGAAATATCGTGGAAGAGATTCTTTAGGAAGAGGTCATTTGAGTCTATATTGAAGTGTGTTAGAATGCCTTGAACCTTAGCTTTTTTAGCAGTTCATTATGAATATTGTATTAAAAATGTTATGGATTGAACTCTGCTTTATATATATATTAACCAAGTAAACATATATATATATATAGTTAATATAAATATAGTTAATATTTATATCGGTTATAAAACTATCCTGAAGCACCCTAATGAGTAATGCACTCTACAAGGTGATATTGAGCCAAATGGATTAGGTACAGCTTTAATCCCTAGTTTTTGATGAGTTTGCTGATCTCGGCCGAGGTGGTGATTGGGCATTATAGTCAATCTGTATTGATTATAATGTACCAGTGGAATATGGTTGATTGGAGTTGATAATGTACATTGTAATGTTCAATTGTTATCCTAGTATTTTGTATACATACTTAGGAAGGCGGGAGGAATCTTTCAAAGGTTTATCTTGGAAAGTTACCTGTGGTTAGTGAAGAAATTGGAGCCAGCAACAGGCCACATTACATATTGTCTGAAACAAACAAGGTAACTGTGCCAATTGGTCTGACACGATTCACATAATCCACCACAATGATCAATTTAAGCACAACTTTCATATGTTTCTGTTCAGAATAAGATACGTTTATCATATAACACTATGCAATAAGTATAAAATTATTGTTAATAATTTAATAATCCAAAACCATCAGATTAATTATTGTTGATAATTAGCTAGCTACCAAAACACAGCTTTTCACACAATGCTTTCTCAGCTCTACGCTGTTTACCACAACTATTTGCGTTAAATCAATAATCATTATGATCCATCTCAACCTGTAGCTCAGTGGTCGTAACACTCGCCTTGCAAGTTGGAGACCAGGGTTCGATTCCCGGCAGGGTGAAACCTTGGGCCAGTTTCCTTACTCCACGCGCCTAATAATAATCTCTCAAGAAAAAAACAATAATAATTTAGTCACTCAATCCATGACTGTTTGTGGGTCACTGCTGTACGCAGTTTGGCTGCTGTGTTTCTCCCACAAATATACAGTCAATTCACTTTACAGTATATTCTGTGAAGCGCTTTGAGATGTCTGGAAGATGTGAAAAGCATCATATCAAATGCAAGGATTATTATTATAATCGGTTCAGAAGGTAGGGATAAAATGAACCACAGTTCCACTTTCAGTCACTGTGCGTTCACTCTGGAAAGTGCCATATGTAGACATGTAGTGAGAATGAGATTGGACTCAGCTATAATATCCCAAATGCAAGAATGAACACTCATTCTCTAGGCTTAAACATGAATAGTAACAACATAAGTGAAATACAGAAAGATTATGTGGAATTATACTCCAGCATGGGTCATTAATATTGGGAGAGCTGCGAGTGATATTTTTTCAGCTAGGTAAAGCACTTATTTGAAAAGATCCTGCCTTGATGAAAATGAAAATGCAATTGATTTATGTTTAGATTTGAACTGATTCATATTTTTACAGGAATGGTGTTTGTAGTGGCTTTACAATGCTTGAGCAAGACAATAAGGTCAAAGCTGCTGAACGATCATCCGACACAAAACTCAAAAGACTTGCGGACAAGTATGTTTGATCTCCTCCTTGATAATATTGTGCTCTCAATGTTTCTTAATCTACCAGTATTTAAGTATGCAGCACAAGATGTTTCTAACCCTCTTATTTTGTTGCTTGTGATTTTGTACTAATACTCTACAATACCTCTTAACAGCTTCTCACTTCTATTTTCATAGTGTGCATCAGGTAAGCCTATTTTCCTAAAAATCTTCTTCCTGCTTTACTCTTTATATATGTTTTTAAAAATTATATTTATATATTTTTAAATGTATAGCCTAGCATTATAGCTGGGAGAGCTTGTACTAATAAGTATTGATGTGCACTTACAGTGGGTGGCAACAGCTGTCGAGATGGGTTTGGCAAGACACATATTTTTCCAATATTGATTGAAAGAAATGAATGTGTAAAGCCCCTACTGTAGTTAGTAAACATATTTCTTTAAAATAAAAATCCACAGGCTTTTAAAACTCCAATTTAAAAACTTTTAAATTGGTAAATTTAAACTTTAAAAAGTTTACCATTATCCAGATATTCTTGATTTAACTGATTTCCCTGCTCCTTTTTTAATTTTGATAGTGCACCAAACAAAGAGCTTTGTCTGGTTCTCGATTCAAAACAAACATTGTAATTTATTTGGAGTTGGCTTTATTTCCCTTCAATATTAGCTGACTTGAAATTAAGTGAAAGTGAGTATAATGTCCCACAAACATGACTGTTTGTGGGACATTGCTGTGCGCAATTGGCTGCCGCGTTCGCCCACAAATATAGTCAATTCACTTTACAGTGTGTTCTGTGAAGCGCTTTGGGACGTCCTCCCGACGTGAAAAGCGCTATATCAAATGCAAGGATTATTATTATTATAAGGTATCCTGATTTATTTAATTCATTTTTAAATTCATGTTTCAAGTTTTATTTTTCTGTTTCCAGAGAACATTCAGACCTCAAACGGCTACTTGCTCTTTTGAGTGTTTCAGCAAGCAAGCAGCAGGTATCATAACTGGTTCATATTTTCCTAAGTGTTGTCTGAATCTGTTTTTGGTAGATAAGACACATTTCTATTTATCTTTTAATTGTCAAACCCCACCCAACTGATCCATAACTTCTTTGTGTGCTGTTTTAAAGAAATAACACATTATCCTTGTTGGTCATTAATTGTTCTCCTCCTCCCCCATCCTTATTTAGAGTGCAAATAATTGGATTCAGAACAACAGATCCTAAACAACATTGTTTGAATAGAATATATTACAATTGTAAATGTATCCATTGCTTACTTGCTTCTGGAAGTTATGGCAAGTTTCCAGTGTTGTGTTTTTGTGTTTGTTGTTTCAGTTACCAGCTCTACATTTTGACAAGGGCCATGTAAGTGTAGCAAAATCACAACAGCAGCAACATTCTGTTCCTGGAAAGCAAAATGGTGGAATCCACATTCGTAAGCAACAGCAACAGTCAACAGAGGCCGTGGAGCTTGAAGCTTTTAGGTATTATTTTTTCCTGAGTAAAGAATCTAAGACTTGATGTTGGGGTTTCAAGCTGTGCTTGAAGTCAACTGCTAGTGCAAAGTGGATCAGTTTGTAAATGATGCCAAAGTGCACAAACGATTACTCAGTAAATATTTATTTCAAAATAACAGTTTGTTACTGGCAACATATGGATGCTTTGTGCAATTTTTCTTTCTACGACTTCCAACTACTGCTGCAGTTGAGCCAGTTCTGTGGATTAATCTGGGGAGTGCACGGAATCAAGTGTTGCGCTCTATGATGTATTTTCTACATCAACGCTGGCCTTTGCCTTTTGGTACAGAAGGTGAGAGCGCACGTCAGAGTATGTGTCAAAGGGGCTGTTTGTTTTCTTCAGCAAAGATCAACAGTCTTGGCTCCATGTAGGCTTGTACTTTGAGTCACAAGTTATTTGATAAATCTTCTTGTGAAAGCACTTTTCGAAGCAGTCCTGCAATAAATAATTCTACCCAATGTTAGGCATTCTACCAAGTTTTAGTCATCCTACCACGTGTTATAGTCTTTGTCCTCTTTAAATTAATTCTTAAAATGTTTTCCCTGTTGCCAGTTGATGGAGTTTGCCTCTTTTCAAAACAAAAAATGTAGTCATCTTTGTGAGCAGCTCCAGCACCAACAACAGTTTGCATTCATATAATAAATACCCTTCAAAGGCTTCAGAGATACAGGTTTGGATGCCAAGCTGGGAGGAAGGGAAGGGGAGAGGTGGTCATAGGCACTGTCTAAGAGGTAGGTTTGAATGTGGTATTTGAAGAAAGTTAGAGAGGGGGCGAGGCAGAGAGACAGAGGCAGGTAGTTTCAGAGCTCAAAAAAGTATGATTGTTCCACTAATCTGTGCAACAGTCAAAGCATTTTAATCTTCACGAAGTTCCAGCAACATTGTTTTGTTGTGGAGAAGGACATTTGAGTGCAGATAATAGCACAAAATGGATTTAACTCAGTTGGTATCCTGGGAAGCAGCAATCAAATGCTGCTTCCAGGATTTAAAAGCAAAGTTGGGGTGGCTATTCCCATATCCAGGTTTTAAAATCATAACTATGGGAACCAATGTGTCGACGCTAGGTAGTGGGTTTAGTTCTACAGCAAATCTTAAGCAATGGATGGAAATATACAATGTTTTGTATAGATTTGGCATAATAATTACTTAACAAATTGACATAAATTTTATCAATTATCTCAACAAGAACAAACACTAGTTACAAAAATAATGAAGCACCTTTCACATCAATAGGATGTCTCAAAGTTCTTCACAGTGCTGAGTGGGCACCCGAGCTGGGGATTGGTAAAGTTGAGGAAGGTAAGGGGCAAAGATGACCAAAGGTGAAAAGAAAGGAATTAAGGTGAGCTTTAAAGGTGGGGAGGGAGGGATGAGGTGGAGGGACTCCATAATGGAGTTCAAGTGAGTGGGGGTAGAATAGCTGAAACTCACTAATGTAGGCAGAAGACATGAAGCAGGCCCGAATGGAAGTTGTAGCTGGGGTGGTAGAGTTGCAGAAAGTCAAAGATAGGGCGAAGTGAGGCCATGAAGAGATTTGAATGTGAGGATGAGGATGTTGGATTTGATCCACTAGGGGAGCTCGTGCTCCTAGTTAGCTCTGTGAAGCACTTTAGTGGTCATAAACTACTGAATTTCATGGCTGGAATATTACTATATTGAAGTAATGTGAATATTTAGTTACTTAACTATTGTAAATAGAGACAAAAAAGTCACGAGATAAGTTTCTCCCACAAAATATACAGTCAATTCACTTTACAGTATATTCTGTGAAGCGCTTTGAGACGCCTTCAAGACGTGATAAGGCGCTACATCAAATGCAAGGATTATTATTAACATCATGATTATTGTTATATGGAAACATTTTTTGGCCTGACTTTATTTTCATACAGCAGCCCAGATTAGTATTAATTTGTATGAAGTGGTTGAAAGTAAATGACAGATTCATTACTGTGTAGAAAGCAGCATGCTGTAGGATATTACAACAGAATGTTATCTCATTTCATAAAAAGCCATTGTCACAAGTCATTTCTTTCCCTCTTTGCCAGTCATTTCTTTTCATTCTTTTATTACAGTGTCAATTACAAAAATGAAAGGAAGTTTAGCTGTCATCCTTACCACAAATGCTTTCTGGAGATTTTCACTGCATTGGTAAAGCAGCGACTCACTTGCAGGTAGAACTGAATACTGTGTATTGCTAAATTGTTATGAAATGTATGCAGTCAATTCACTTTACAGTATATTCTGTGAAGCGCTTTGAGATGTGTCAAAGACGTGATAAGGTGCTATATCAAATACAAGGATTATTATTATATTCATTGTTTCAGTCAAACACTTTGAAGCACAAAGATTAAAAGATCTTTATAGGCCACTTAATAATAATAATAATCCTTGCATTTGGTATAGCGCCTTATCACGTCTTCTAGACCTCCTTCTATCCCGAAAGGTACTATAGGTGTAAATTGCATTGCTTGTCACTGAGTTTGTTCATCTTGCCTAGATATCCACCATCTATATCATTAAGCTTGAATTTAATTATTTTGGGTTTCTATTATAGGAATTGTTAAAATGGCGCTGGAGTACTATTAATCTTTGATTCTTTTTCTTTTGTGAATGCTGTTATGCATTTATATTGATAATATAGTTAAAAATACAGGGAAAATGCACTACAAAGGGACCTTTGTTAAAAAGAATTGTTTGCTTAGAAGTTTCAAATATGTAAAAATTTTAATTACATCAATTGTTTGAGATGATTCTTCAATTTGGGTAAGAAAAAACCTTGCATTTTGCACAAAAAAAAACCTTGCACAAAACGTGCAGTCACATGTTCACAGCAAGGCCTATTTTATCAGGGAAGGGAGAATTAATCCTCCAATTAATTCACTGGAGTTAGTAGATAAACACAACAGCAAATTTGCACACAGAAATTTCCCACAAACAGCCAAGAAGTGAGTAGCCATTTTTATTTGGAGAATTGTTGATCAAGACCCCAGGAGAAACTCCCTACTCTTTTCGAATGGTGTCACACCGTCTTTCACATCACTTGAGCAAGCAGCCGAAGCCTTGGTTTAACATCTCATCCTAAAGATAGCACCTTCAATAATACAGCGCTCCCTTACCACCGCATAGGAGCGTTAGCCTCTACTGTGAGGACTTGAACCAATAACCTTCTGACTCAGAGGAGAGTGTGCATCCAACTGAGCCAGGGTGACACCTGTAAATATAATCTTGGTGGGAGAGAGTATCTTATTATCAGTTGTCAGGTAAAGTTAATATCCCCTTATTAGCTCACACCATTAAGGTTGATGAATATACCAACAAGCAGCATATCAGGTGTCAAGATTGATAAAATTGTTGGAGATGCTGTCCTTCAGATGAAACGTTAAACTGAAATCTCATCTGCCTATTGAGATAAACATTTGATAATGGCATGGCACTATTGAAATAGAAAAGGGAGTTTTTCCCAGTGTCTGGGCCAACAAATTGGTTGCTCTGTATACACTGTGACTGCACATCACAGGAAACTCTGTGAAGTTACTTTGAGACATTTCAACACAATAAGACACTATATTACATACAAGGATTGTTATTATTATTATCTTTTCTATTACATTACAGAGAGTGGGTGGATCGAGCGCCACCTGCGAATTGTCTCCGGGTGCTAATCTGTTTGAGATTGATAATGAGAGATTCATTTTATCAGGTTTGTACAATAAAATACAATTTATCATTATTGACATTTTTTCTCCTCTTAGTCTGCATACTTTATACATGTTTAATTTATAAATTATATTTCATTATAGTAATGAATATCAAGCACAGAATTTTGCAAATGTACATTGGTTTTGGATATAACTGGGTTGTGTATTTTTCCTTGAGATGACCACACGAACATTTACATGTTAGTGGTTGTTTTTTATTTCAGAAAGTTTTCAATGAGCTTGGAGGAGTTGAGACCTTAGCACAGGTTTGTTTCAAGAATATATAAAATTCAACTGAAATGCCAAACATGGTTGGCCATTTTTAAATACATCTTGTGTTTTTTTCTGTGTTAGTATATGGAGAATGTGACTCACGGTTATCTTGGATATGGGGGACAGCAGTTTGTTGTTGACAGACTGGTCACCATGACATGTAAGTTCAGTTTCTTTAAATGCAACTTAGTGACTCATCAAAGGGTTTAGTTATTGAAATACCTTATACTTTTAATATATTATATTTTTAATCACTCACTCTACTTCTGTCATCTCCTGTGATCCTACTGACCCAGCCGCTCCCTCTTTTCAGCAAACAGGGTCCTGTTTCATGTCTCCACACCCTGCCCTCAATCCATCTCAGAGATCCTCTCCTTCACCCCTTCCATCCTTTCAGCCAAGCAGCCAGCTAGCTGTGTGTAGCACTTTGAGACATCCTCCCAACGTGAAAGGCATTATGTAAATTGTTGTGGTATAATTGCAATTTTTCATTTGCATCAGGGAGCAGTTACTATACATTTTGTGGGATTGACACAAAAACAGCGCCTTGGGACATCCTCCCAACATGAAAGGCGCTTTACAAATATAATTTTGTATTGTATTATGCATTGCTTTTAACCAGGAAGGAATGTAGTCCTACTGAACAGTCATTTGAAATTCATCATTGTAATTTATAGTGGTCTACAACATTGGATCTCAAGTCTAATTTCCCATCTAAAAATATTTTTAAAAAAATAAATGGTTACTATAGGTTAACTATTATATATATCAAATTGAGCATGAGCTACTCAAAGTAGTTCAGTGTATTACTGCTATTTTCTGATCACATTATATTTTCATAATTTTTCCATTGTTTTCAAAAAGTTACATATTCATTTTTCAATTCCGGAAAAGGGATCTGCCAATCGACTAACAACCAGGTGCTAGGTAAATAGAGACGTGGAGAGTAAGGAAACTTACTCAACGTTTTGCTCTGCCGGGAATCGAACTCAGGTCTTCTCGCTTGTGAGGCGAGTGCTCTAACCACGAAGCTACAGGACTCCAAATCCCTGACTGCCCATAAAAATGTAATTTGTTGTTGTTGTTATAGAGAATGTCTGACCCAGAGGCAAAGGGTGCGTCTCCACAGAGACAAACCAAAGTTTTGCTTTGCAGTCCTTATCCAAGCATCAGACCTGTCATGAAACAAGTGCTGGTGTAATTGTGCTATCTGGTTACAAAATGCAGATTTAATTCCTTTAGTGAGGGATTTTAAATTCTACAGATATTATTATTGTTTAGAATTTAAATAACTGTGTTAAATAGTTCAATAATAGGATTCTAAATATTAATATTGTCTCACTGGGAGAAAATTACAAAATTAAATGCAAATTTTTTCTACTCCATTTTTATAAAATGCTTTGAGACATTCTCTATCACAACAACAAAAAATTACATTATATTGCGCCTTTCACGTTGGGAGGATTTCCCTAGGTGCTGGACAGTCAGGGATTTGGATCCAAGCTGGGGGTTGGGATCAGGGAGTTTAGGGGTAGGAGGATGACCAAGGGCACAATCGAAGAGGAAAGTTTTGAGACAGGCTTTGAAGGAGGCCAAGAAAGCAGCAAGGAGAAGGGACTGTGGAATGGAATTCCAAAAGATGGGACCGGAGAGGCTGAAGGCTTGACCGCTGATGGCACTGATTCTTCTTTTTTCTGGAGAATTTTCAGATACTTTGTAATGTGAAAATGTTCACGGCAAAACTTGGTATTCACTGAACCAAATTTCCTTGTTTCCCTAGTAAATTCAAGTGTGGACATTAGCAAAATGTTCTTAATACGGTATCCAGCATTCTTTAACATTAATAATAATAATACTTGCATTTGATACAAGCATTTAATCACATCTTCGAGACAACTCAAGGGCTTCACAGGATATACTGCAAGTGAATTGACTGTATATTTTGTGGGCGAAACGCAGCAGCCAATTGCACACAGCAGTGTCCCACAAACAGTCGTGGATTGAGTGACCAATTTATTATTTTTTTTAAGGAATTACTACCCCGGAAATGTGGAGTCCTGTAGCTCAGTGGTTAGAGCACTCGCTTTGCAAGCGAGAGACCTGAGTTCAATTCCAGGCAGGGCGAAACCTTGGGCAAGTTTCCTTACTCCACACGCCTAATAATAATCACTCCAAAATCCAAAACAATAATAAATTGGTCATTTTCAATCTACGACTGTTTGTGGGACATTGCTGTGCGCAATTGGCTGCCGCGTTCGCCCACAAATATACAGTCAATTCACTTTACAGTATATTCTGTGAAGCGCTTTGGGACGTCCTCCCGACGTGAAAAGCGCTATATCAAATGCAAGGATTATTATTATTATTTTTATCTGCCAATTGACTAACAACCAGGTTCCTATGTGCTGCTAGATAAACAGAGGAATGTGGAGTAAGGAAACTTGCCCAACTTTTGGCTCTCCTAGAAATTGAACCCAGATCTCTCGCTTGCGAGGCGAGTGCTCTAACCACTGAGCTACAGGACTCCACAACAATAATAATAGTAACAATATTGCATTTGGTATTTGGAAGTGTTATTTAATTTGATTTGGATTATCTTTTCAGACATTTTTCAAAAGCTGGCTGCTGTTGTGGAACAAAGAGAATGGGTCACTGCGTGTGGAGCGCACAAGGTATGAGATTCCTGTGACACCTATAAAGACATTCAATACATTTGTGGATTGCCAACATTCCTAGTAAATTTGTTATACAATACGTTTGGTATGATAGTTATTTATTCAATAATCCTTAATAGGTTAGTATTTTTTCATTTAATTTTAAATTTCATTTGTCGATTGAACCACTTATTTTAGCCAGAGTGTCACTAAGCCGTTGCACGGTTTGATTCCTGCTCTACATTGAGTTAACTGATCTTAGTAGACATCAGTTACTATCAATGCAGGCAATTGCAACCCTTGAGATCTTCTCATTATACTTCATGTTAACACATAAATGATACTCCGTGATCAAAATCACTATTTTGCCCTTTTTTACTTATACATTGGTGTACAGTCTATTTTAGAAGTAGAACAATTGCTTGCCCCTGGAGCACAGGAACTGCTGAACATTTAGTATGTTGCACCAGAAACAGGCATAAATTAGCATTATTCCAGGAATAAAGATTTAAGTTTTAGGGTGAAAAGATTGCAAAGATTTACAAAGAATGTACAGCACGGAAAAGGCCACTCGGCCCAACCAGTCCGTGCCAGTGTTTGTACTTCACAAGAGTCTCCACCTATTCCTTACTCCCTCCCATACCCTTCTATCCCCCCTCATATAGAAGGTCTAGCTTTCTTTCAAATGTGTAAATTGTGAGGTGGGTTGTGATAATTAACAGCTTGAATTTTGCAGTGATGCAAAATGTGACGTGTGTTGTGCTAATTATCACCAGTGTTTTTATTACATCATATTTTAGCCCATTGTTATATTGTAACCTGAGCTGTGTTCTCTTTAGACTCTGGTAAAGCTATTAGCAGCCAAGGACAACAATGTATTATTGGGAGCTCTCCTTGCACTTACCAGCTTAGCTGAAAGGTATACTTCCTAAATAATAAACAATATAAAGTATCATACAAATTAGTCCAAGGCTGCACTCTCAACCTCTCAAAGCCAGTCAGTAACCTCGGCCTTCTGTTCGACCCTGAGCTGTCCTTTCTCCCTCATATCCGCGCCACAACTGGCACCGCCTTCCACCACCTCCGGAATATCGCCAGACTACGGCACTACCTCACCCCTCACGCTGCTGAAACTCTGGTCCACGCCTTTATCACCTCAAGGATGGACTATGGGAACTCTCTCCTCGCCGGCCTTCCCGGCACCTCCCTCCACAACCTGCAGGTCATTCAGAACTCTGCAGCTCGTGTACTGTCCCGCACCAGGCTTCGGGACCACATCACTCCCACCCTCGCTCGCCTCCACTGGCTCCCCATCCCCCAGAGGATTGATTTCAAGATCCTCATCCTCACCTACAAGGCCATTCACGGCCTTGCTCCCTCCTACCTCTCAAACCTACTATTCCCCAACCTACCTGCCCGTACCCTCTGTTCCTCTGGCTCCAGTCTGCTCCACATCCCCCGCCCCAACCGCCCTACCATCGGTGTCCGGGCCTTCAGCCTCTCTGCCCCGAGGCTCTGGAACCCTATCCCCCAGTGCCTTCGCCGCCTCCTCCCTTTCCTCCTTCACGGCCGGTCTCAAGACCTTTCTCTTTGACCATGCCTTCAGCTCCCCTCTCGACTCTCTACCGCCTCCTCGCTCCTTCCCTCCCCTCACCTTGACCATTTCCCCCCTGCTCGGGTCCTGACCCAACTGTACAGAGCCTTGGGACGTCCTCCCGACGTGAAAGGCGCTCTATAAATGGAATCTTGTTGTTGTTGCAGTTTAATCAAAAATGATTATTTTTAATATTCTTTTTCTTTGAAGTCCCAAGTGCAGAGTGAAGATAGGAGAAGTCACAATTGTAGAACACCTGTTAACAATTTTACAAGAATATGAATTGTTATCAAAGAGGTATGTGGTGGCTTTTGTTATTATAAAGAATTACACATAATGTACAATACAGAAATAGGCCACTCAGCTCAACCAGTTTGTGCCGTGATTATACACCAAGTCTTCACCAATTCCTTACTCTCCCATTCCTTCTATTTCCTTTTCCCTCATGTGAAGTTATAGCTTTCTCTTAAATGCATCTATAGTAAGTGATTCAACCACGACTCCAGCAGTAGTTTCACAATTGTACTACCCTCTGCGTGAAGTAGTTCCTTCTCAATTCTCTTTTATATCCCATAGTTTCTGTTTTATACTCGTGTCCTCTGGTTACAGACTCTCCAAGCAGTGGAAACAACCTATTTATGTTAATCATATCAAATGCTTTTATAATTTTAAACACTCATATTAGGTCCCCCCTTAAATGTCTCTTCTCTAGCAAAAAAGGCTTAACCTGTCCAGTCTATCCTGATAGCAGATAGCAGATAGCCAGGGCTGGCATCGCTCTTGTGAACTCTTAAATATTAAACCTCTGCTGTACTCTTTGCATCGCTGCTATATCCTTCTTATAGTGTGGAAACCAGAATTGGACACAATGCTCCAAATGTGATCTAAATTCAACATCCCCTTCTCACTTTTATATTCTATCCCTCTGGATATAAAGCCCAAGACTCCACCGGCATTTTATAGTCTCTATCTGTGCAGCTATTTTTATACATTCAGATCCACAAATCCCCAGATCTCCTTGCTCCTCTACTCCTGTTAGGTTCATACCATTTAGAACAACCTATTTGGTCGGCCAACCAAATACATTTTCTTGACTGAATATTTCTTAATTTATGGGCATTACATAAACATCGCCACTCAGTAGCTACAGGAAACAAAACATTGATTTAATACAGACTTGGCGAATGTTCAGTGGGTGTACGTGACAGTCCCGCAGACTATAAATGACCATAAATTAAGAAATATTCAATCAAGAAAATTATATTCTCCTTCTCTAGATGACTAGTTACTTAATCTTTTCTGATACTTTATTTCCCTTGCCGACAACTGACATTAAGTTGACTGGCTTGTAGTTTCCTGGATTTGTTGCATCACCAATATAGATACTATCTGTAATAGAGCCTTAGCCATCTTCTCCCTAGTTTCCCTAAGGATCCTTGGGTGCAGTCCATCTGGGCCACGTGCCTTCTCCTCTTTGAGCTTGTGTAGTTTATTTAATTCCTCCCTTCTCTCAATCTTAACTATTATGATTTTACACCCTGCCCCTTCTGTTCTTACTAAATTTTCTTTATCAGTTTCCTTTGTGAAAACCGAGGCAATGTACATGTAGTATTTCTACAATTTCCAATTATCGCTATGAGCTTATCCCCTTCTCCCCTTAATGGTCTTATCCCTACTTTAACCTTTTGTATTGCTAACATGTCTATAGAATACCTTGCTATTTATTTTTATATTTATATGAGTTAGTTATTTTTTTAAAAAGAAACAACTGTGGTTATAAAGCATTAATTTTATGGGTGGGTGGGAGAAAGAATCATTGAATGTGATAATGTATAATGTTGGGAAATGGAAAACTATCCTCCATTATTTTGTTGAATTAAAATGGTGTTTGGGGCTGGTCTCCTTGATGCCAATGTTATTTACAGAATGACTGCTGAGCTGCTTCGCCTCCTGTGTGCAGACGCACAGGTGAGAGAACAAGTGAAAATCTATGAAGGAATTCCTATCATGCTCAGTCTACTACACTCAGACCACCTAAAACTGCTTTGGAGTGTGGTCTGGATCCTAGTCCAGCTCTGTGAGGATCCTGATACAAGCACTGAGATCCGCTTATGGGGAGGTATCCAGCAATTACTGCACATTCTACAAGGGTGAGTTTTAAAAAAAATTGAAAGGATACAATATTAGTAATATTTATTTTAGTTTTAGTTATGCCCATTCCTATCTTGAAATAGCAATTAAATAGATAGCCGAGGAAAATATTTGCATGGAATCTAGAAATTGAGTCCATTTGAAGAGATTTAGATACGTATTCTTTATCTAGTTTTCTCTCCTAGTTCTTCACTGGATTTCTCAATTTAAAAAAAAGAGAAATAATTTGCTCTGCGCTTTCTTAATGGAGATGAATATTCTGCTGAATTTCCAGTTTATAAAGTAAAACATCAACACACTTAGACTTACTACAGTCTAACCACGTTATAAGGTCCATAAAATCCTAATCCATGATATAGCAAGGCATGATAATTTGACCAAGTATATGTGTAACCAGAGGGAGAGGACCAGCCCGCACAAAAAAAAAGTCTGTCTTCCAGGTTATTGGGGTCACCGGAAAATTATTTCCTGTTTCCTGAGTAGGCGCAGAGCAGGAAATGATGTTGCTGTGATCCGATGATCTGGAAGTCCGCCTATTTTTAGTGAAATAATCTTATCAAAATGTAAGGTGTCCACAGTGCAACCATGTTCTAAGTAAATTTGCACTAGAGTGAAGTGTGTTATAATGGGGGTGCACTGTATGTTCTCTCATGTGATTTTGTTTCATGTTTCATTTAAACTATTGAGCAAAGAGAGCCCGAAACCTGATATCACCCACTCATTCAAGAGACATCTCTTAAGTGTGAGAGCCTGGAAGCTTTTTGTGTATTGATTTGCTATATTTTTTTTACAGAGATAGAAATTTTGTGTCTGATCGTTCTTCAATTGGAAGTTTGTCCAGTGCTAATGCCTCGGGGAGAATTCGACAGCTCCAGTTATCTGAAGAACTGAGCACTCAGGAAATTCAAGAAAATACATTGTCTTTACAAGAAGGTAAAACATGTCTGGCAAAATAAAGATCTAATTGTTGGATATCTCAAATGTAGACTTTTTTTTGGAAATATTAAAGCTAGGAATTTCTTTTATCAGAGATGGGATAGATTTTTTTAATTTTCAGTAGAACCCCATTTTAATAAAAACTAAAATTTTGCTCCATATTTCACTATTAAAATCTGGTCAGCTGAAGAGTACGTTGTGGAACATGCATGAAGCAGGTTCTCTTTACGTGGCTGACGTGGCTCCAAGGAGACACACTGACAATTTGAACATTGGGCTTCAGTGATCCTCTGTGGCACTGAACCAGGCAGGTCTACAAAACTGTGGCTAAACTCTCCGGGATTAGATGAAGCAGGGTCCTTTACCTTTGGGGAGAGAGTGTGCATTTCTTTTCAGAAAATGAATACCATATCATATGGAACTCTCGGTAGTTTGGTTTGGAGAATTTTAAGCATGTTAATGTTTTCCTATGTGTGTCGGATACCTGGCTGACCAAAAACAGAATTCAGCAAATCAACTTTTAAATGATGGAAGTAGGAGATATTTGCTCTCTGTGTTGAATTGAGTTTGTCATTGGCTCAGTAATTGTGAGAAAAATAACATTAAGTTTCTTTGTGTTATAAAAAACAACTCATTGTAATGTGTTTTCCAAGCATTATAACATCTCAGAGTGAGATGACCGTGATAAGTCATTCCCACTATGCACATGCAGTTTCTCTAACTTTTTAACCCTTTGATATAACTGCCCAGTAACACACTGTTATCTGCTGTACAACATAGTGGTCCTTACTGAGTGTTTTATCATTTCAGCTTGTTGTGCTGCGGTTACTGAGCTGGTCCTTAATGATACAAATGCTCAACAGGTTGTGCAGGTTAGTGATTTCATATGTAAAGAGCATGTTACGATCAGTGCTTATGTGTTTAAAATTAAGAAAGGGATTGATAAAGTGAAGATGAGTAGAATGTTTCTTTTGACGTCTCATCCAGTGTATTGAAAGTTAGCTCAAAGTCCCCATATGGGGCATGAACTCCTGACCTAATTCAGAGGCAGTAGTGCTGCCAATCTGGCTGTAACATATGCTGAGGTTTCAAATAAAGCTGGTATTTGCAGTCGTGTAGAAATATCCATCCTTCGGATGAGATGTTAAACTGAAGTCCCATCTGTCTGTTCAGGTGGAAGTTTGAGGGTCCCATTACACTATCACAAAAGAAAAGGGAATTTCTCCTGGTGTCCTGGCCACCAATCCCTCAAATAAAATGGTAACTTATTTCATAGCTGTTTGTAGGATATTGCTGTGCTCAATTGTGCTGCCACGTTTGTCTACAAATACAGTCTCTCCATTTCACAGTAAATCCTGTGATGTCCTTTGGGACACCTTTCCAACATGATAAGGTGCAAATGAAAGGATTATTATCAATGAAAATTATGACCTATGATTTTGGTGTGATAACTATCACATCATTGATAAATGCACTGAAAAATATCAGGCAATAATTAAAGACTGTTGATAACAAAAGATTGACAATAAACGTGATCCTTTCTGGCTCTATCACAATGGTTAGTCTGAATGCAGCCTGTGCTTCCATTGGAAATAGCTTCCAGATTGTGGATTGGAGAACTGGTTCATGAAGTACTCGTGTAGGTTCACCTACAAAATATACCCTCACTGCATACCACAGTAAATCCTGTGAAGCCCTTTGAAACATTTTAATGATGTGTTAAGGCATTGTATAAAATGTACAGATTCTTATTATTTAATGACTTGAAATCTTTACATTTTCTGTTGGCAGTTACTGATGTTATTAAATTGTGGGAAAGGAGGTAGAGAGACCCATAGACAGTTTTTAGTAATTGACTGTCTTCAATTGTCTTTAGTTATCAACTGGGGTTAGAATCATAGAATTATATGGCACAGAAGTAGGGCATTCAGCCCATCGTGTCTGTGACAGCTCTTTGAAAACAGCTATCCAAATCAATCCCACTACCCCGCTCTCTCCCCATAGCCCTGCAAACTTGTCCTCCCTAAATAATTATCTACTTCTCTCTTAAAAGTTGTTAACGAATTAGCTTCCACCACCCTTTCAGGATATGCATTTCAGATCTGGACAACTCACTGTGTAAAAAAATTTCTCCTCTGTTTCTTTTAACAACTATTTTAAATTTGTGTCTTCAGGTTACCGACCCACCCGCCAATGGAAATAGATTCATCTTATTCACCCTATCGAATACCCTCATAATTTGAAAACTTCTATTAAGTCTCCTCTTAACTGTGTCTGCTCCAAGGAGAATAATCCTAGCTTCTCTAGCCTCTCGTCATAACTGAAGTCCCTCATTCCTGATACCATTCTGGTAAATATCCTTTGCACCCTCTCCAATGGCTTGACATCCATCCTAAAGTGTGTTGCCAGAACTGAACACAGTACTCTCGCTGAGGCCTAACCGGTGTTTTATAAAGGTTCATCATAACTTGCTGACTTTTGTATTCTATGTCCCTATTTATAAAGCCTAGTATCCCGTATGTTTTTTTTTAAACAGCTTTATCTATCTGTTCTGCCCACTTCAAAAATTTATCTAAATGAACCCCAGGTCTCTCTGTTCCTTCACCCCCTTTAAGATTGTACCATTTAGTTTATATTGCCTCACTTCATTTTTCCTCCCAAAATGCATCACTTTGCATTTCTCCACATTAAACTTCATCTGCCTTGTGTCTGCCCCTTTTACCAGTCTGTCTATAGCCTCTTGCAGTCTGCTTTTAGCTCCTCACCATTTATTACTTTTCCTAGCTTAGTATCATCTGCAAACTTGGAAACTGTACTCCCTATACCCAAATCAAGGACATTTATTTCGATCAAAAAAAGCAGTGTTCCCAATACTGACCCCTGGGGGACACCACTGCATACTTCCCTCCAGTCAGAAAAACAACCGTTCACAATCCCTCTCTGCTTTCTGTCACCCTTCCAGTTCTATATCCATGCTGCACTGTCCCTTTAATACCGTGGGCTTCTATTTTGCTTACAAGTCTCTTTTGTGACATTTTATCAAAAGCCTTTTGAAAATCCATATAAATTGCATCAACTGCACTACCTTCATCCACCCTCTCTGTTACTTCATCAAAAAACTCTAAAGGTATGTTAGACATGATTTGCCTTTAACAAATCCATGTTGGCTGTCCTTTATTAATCCATATTTTTCTAAGTGAAAATTTAGTTTGTCCCGGATTATAGTCTCTAGAAGTTTCCCCACTACTGACGTTAGGCTGACTGGCCTGTAGTTCCTGGTTTTATCCTTCTGCCCCTTTTTGTACAGTGGAATAACATTTGCAACCCTCAAGTCCTCTGGAACCACCCTGTGTCCAAGGAGGATTGAAAGATTGTGTGGTCATTTTCACCCTTACTTTCCTCAGTAACCTAAGATAAATCCCATCTGGACTGAGTGACTTATCTACCTTGAGCTCCATCAACCTTTTTAGTACCTCCTTTCAGTTTATTCTTGTCCTAACCAATTTCTCTACCTGCTCCTCCGATACAGTGACATTTGGTGCATCTTCTTTTGTGAAGACGGATGCAAAGTATTCATTCAGTTTGTCAGCTATGCCCTCTGCCTCCATAAGAAGATTTCCTCTTTGGTCCCTAATTGGTCCCTACCTTTGACTAACCTTTAATTCTTTATAAAATGCCTTAGGGTTCCCTTTTATGTTGCCCACTAATCTTTTCTCATACAGTCTCTTTGCCCCTCTTTGCCCCTCATATCTTTTTTCAGTTCTCCTCTATACTTTCTATATTCTACTTGATTTTGTTATAATAATAATAATCACATCTTCTAGAAATCTCAAAGCGCTTCACAGAATATACTGTAAAGTGAATTGACTGCATATTTGTGGACGAAACGTGGCAGCCAATTGTGTATCTTACAAAATATCTTCTGTATTTTGGACATTTATCATAAGCCTCCTTTTTCCATTTTATTTATTTTAATCCCAATTTCCTTAGTCATCCAAGGAGGTCTATCTTTTTCCTTTTGTGGGAATGTATTTGTTCTGTCCCCGAACTATCTCCTTCTTGTAGGCTTCCCATTGCTCGTTAGTTATTTTACCTGCCAATCTTTCTTTCCAGTCCACCTTGGCTAGGTCCTTTTTTAAATCACTGAAATTAGCCCTCTTCCAATTGAGTATCTTCACCTTTGATTGCTCCTTGTCCCTTTCTGTAAGTACTCTAAACCTAATGATGTTGTGATTATTGTTGTCTAGATGCTCTCCTACTGACACCTGCTCCACTTGCCCCATTTCATTCTCCTGGATCCAGCACTGCTTCCTTCCTCGTTGGGCTGGAACCATACTGATCCAGAAAGTTCTCTTGCATACATTTCAGGACTCCTTCCCCCTCCTTTCCCTTTACACTGTTATTTTGCCAGTCTACGTTAGGATAATTGAAGTTCCGCTATTATCACTAGTCTATTGGTTTTGCATCTTTCTGAAATCTGCTTGCAGATTTGCTCACCAATCTCCTTCCTACTATTTGGTGGTCTATAGTATACACTTTTTCTGCTCATTAACTCTAACCAAATAGATTCTGTTTTTAGTTGTTGGCATGAACCCTGAAATTACAGTTTTGACTTCAATTCAATTCCAGAATTATTATTCTATCCATTACCCTCATTATCAATTTTACTTCCTCACATTCTTGCTTTACGGTTCCACAGCATTACTGTGTTAAGGAATGAGTAGCGGTCTGTTCACAAGACTCTGCCTATTCTGCTGGGTATAGCCAATTTGGGGACTGTTGAGAGTCTATCCTTCTCTCTAGGGAGGTGGTTACATTTTTAGGAGTTGCTTTTCCTTGTAGTACAGAATAATTTTACCATTAAAGTGATGCTGCTTGCACTTTCCATATTAACTGATGAGTCAGCTAAATTGTTTTATCTTGCCCTAAAGTTATATATAATTATTTTGGAACTGCTTAATTTGAATATATTGCTATAAACATTACGATAATAGTATCATTGCTTTTGCTTTTCTTACACTACCCATAGTCATTTATAATCTGTTTATAACTATTAGCTGGTTCTTCACAAAAGAAGTTTGGATAAAGAAGGCCCTTCTGCTCCATTTGATCACACCCCCTATATTAGCTGGTATTCTTCTTCTTTCCGCTGCTTGTTGCGGGGTTAACAGGAGCTGAGTGGAATAATTCCCTGAGTTGGATGATTCCCTATCTTTGGCTTCTAAATTGAAAGGTCTGCCTTTCTAAGTCCTGCCAATGAGCCAGGTTGGCAATGCTATCGTCAGCAGTGCCCCTGTGGGTCTGCAGTTTTCCAGAGCACTGCTGATGATAGCACAGCCAGAATGGCTCATCGACAAGACATGGAAGGGCATTATCTAACAAATGACCTCAATATTGTACCTTTTATTTTCAAAATACTCTATTTTTAAATGTGACTTGCTTCTTTGCTTCATATTGAATCATAAATGGTGAAAACAAAGTAATATTTGTTGAATAGTCTGAACTCTACAGAAAAATTATATATTTTTTAACTTTTCTGTTTCGATCTAGATGCCACAGATATGTGTGCATGGAAATGAAAATGAAGCACTGACAGCAAATGCACATTGTTAATGTCAGCAGGTTAAACATACCTGCTTATGATACCAGAAGTTGCACTCTATTTTCAACCATTACATTTCTAGAATTGCCTATTGAAATGAAAATAACCATAATATGAAAAATGCTGTAGTTTTAACAGTCTGTAATTTTGGTTTTGTATTGCAAAAAAATCTCTTATTCTATCCAGTAAAACATTCGACAGTGTTCGCAAGCAATGATGATGTCAATGCACATCCCTCAAGCTTTAGTTATTGCCATTTCATTCCTAATTTTGGCAATCATTTAACAGGTTTAATTTTATTATAATCATAATATACATCATAAAAAATTATGACAGAGTGAGCACAGGGCTCTAATTGCGGTGTTGAAATAAAGGCTAAATGATTTCAGCTATGCTGGTTTTATTTAGTGATTTATCAAAAATCCTTGATCAAAATGCCATGTAGCTCTTAGAAAAATGGCTAGTAATGTTTTCTTGGTATGGCAATGAAACATGCTTTAGATATTTCATTGCTATGTTTATACTGCTGGGGCCAATGCATCTTTTTTTTCTCAGCAGTATTGTGGTGTGAGAAATCTGGTTTATACTTTCGTTTCGCCCATAAATATTCAGGCAAATCACTTTACAGCATATTCTGTGAAGCGCTTTGGGACATCCAGAAGACGTGAAAAGCACTATGTCAAATGCAAGGATTATTATTATTATTATTATAATACTTTGCATCTGTCCATTGTACATTGAAGGTTCTTGGATGAGTAGATAGATCATAAGAGTGTTCAGTTGGAGTATGGTGCTTTTAATTATTCTTACTGTGGGATCTAAGCAGCGTAGTATTGTAAATAATGACACTTGCACTATTTACTGGGCCACTTTCATTTTCAGTTTATCACACAAAGTGGCCATTTTATAAAGTGCAGTCAGCCTTATTATAATCCAATATAAGTTAGTACTGTAATGGGGAATGATTGCCACTCAACTCTTCAGCATTCGATCGGCATGTGCAGAGAAAGACAAAACAAATCCACAGCCAACAAGAAGAAGTCAAAATGACCTACTTAAGAGTCATCAGCTCGCTGGCAATGTCACTTCCACACTCACATGTGTAGGAAGTGACATTGGTTGCAACCTGATAACCACAGAACAGCTATTTTGTCTTCTCTTACATGACCAGTGTTTCATCTTTCTGCTTGTGCACAATTAAGCATGTCTTCATCACCTCCAGGCCCGATTATGAGAACGCCCTGCTTGTTGGCCTTCCCAACTCCTCCCTCCACAGGCTGCAGATAATCCAGAACTCTGCAGCCCGTGTCCTCTCCCGCACCAAACTCCGTGACCCCATCTCCCCAACTCTCGCCCGACTCCACTGGCTCCCTATCCTTCAGAGGATCCAGTTCAAGATCCTGGTCTTCACATACAAAGCCCTCCATGGCCTCACCCCACCCTACCTCTGCAACCTCCTAACCCCCTACCAACCCGCCTGCTCCCTCTGCTCAGCCGGCTCTGGCCTGCTCCACATCACCCGCCCCACCATTGGCGGGAGAGCCTTCAGCCACTCTGCCCCCAACCTCTGGAATTCCATCCCCCAGTCACTCCGCCTCTCCCCCTCCTGAGCCTCCTTTAAGTCCTGCCTCAAGACCCATGCCATCGACCATGCCATCGGCCAGCCCCCCCTTCCCCTCCCCTCCCTTAGCCCCCCCAACCCCAGCTCAGGTCTGAAATGCTGTACTCTGTCCAGCGCCTTGGAAGTCCTCCCGACGTGAAAGGCGCTATACAAGTGTAATCTTGTTGTTGTTGTAAGCAGTAATGAAATGGGTCATTTTGGATATTTTCAGTAAGTTAATTTTTGGGTCAAAACCCCAGCCACCCACAATCCAATGAGGCATTTTCTAATGAGGTTTTACTGTATGATCTTATTTCTTAAGAACCTAATGGAGCACTTGGATAAATTCATTATTAAGTACTAGCTGTACACGTTGCAGCTTCGCTTGCAACCAAAGGATCCAATATGGAATGTAGATTGACACACAGACAAACACACAGACAGACATTTCATTTTTATTTATACTCATCTGGGAGGACTACTGTGGAAGGACTGCTTTTGGGAGGACTCAGTGGGAGGACTCGGCGCTTTAAAAATGTAATTTTGTTGTTGTTGCCACGGCTTAGCTTCATCTGTGTTCTTTATTTGTTCCTGCTGCTTGGCTACATGCGTGCTCTATGACGCAGGATGCCACGATCAGCCAGAGCGGCCACCAGTTTTCAGAAAACTGAAAATAACTAATGAACGATAGTAGATACCCCAAAACAAATATGCCCACATCACTTCCAGATGCAAGACCTTTCTGATGAGGTATACATCATGTCTCAACATCAATCGGTTATTGAGATCCTTCTTGAAGCGCAGACAGACATTGTTGTTTTATTAGTATATAGATGGATGAATGGAGGGAGGGAGGGAGGATAATAGGTGGAATGTGAATGTTACGTTGCTTAACAATGAAAATGTACATTTTGTTATGATGCAGCTGAGCCATAGTAAACCAAATAAAGTTAGACCCATCACTATGCAAAAGGCCTGATGTTACATTTTGTTAAATTCCAATTGCAGGGAAATGGCATTTATATAATAGGAAGATTAATTCTACCAAAGAAACAAAGGAATGGGCCAACACAAAGTGTTTTACAGGTGAGTCTATTGCAACTTATTAAAAAATATTTAATGTAGTTTTTTTAAAAAAAACAAGAGACTAGATTTGGCCTCCATGTTTTAATAAATTTGGGTTATATGAAATAACTATCACATGTTTAAAGTGTTACATTGTTACTCATTTATACAACTGGAATAATGATTGAATAATGATTGATTAATAATAATAATAATTGAATAATGATTCTGTCACCAGGGATTACAGTGGAAATAAAGCAACACTGGGGTCTAAAATGTGATTTAATTAAGATATCCTGCAAGGATTGTAAATGTATTACAATTATGTGTGGAAGGCTGATTTCCCCCATTAAGATACATCAAGCATTAAGATACTGTAATTATTCCATCTCCTGATAAGTTTAGTACTAAAGTGTGTCTCAATTTGTGTGAAGTTGCATGTCATTTATAATAAAGAATGCTTATATATAGTACAATGTTTGTAAAATTATTTTAACCATTTTCATTACAGTGTTATGCATTTAGGGCTTTGCGTTTTCTCTTCAGCATGGAAAGGAACAGGCAGTTGTTCAAAAGGTATGGCATCCAAACAAGAAAGGATACCTAAACAAATAGTATTTTCCCTTCAGTGCACTTATTACATTTTGTTAGTCTAAGACTTTGGTTATCTCTCATGCAAGCTAAAAGGTCTTGATTGATTTATTGTACATATTAAACTATTAAACTGCAGCCCGTGTCCACTCCTGCACCAAATTCTGCGACCCCATCGCCCCCATTCTTGCCCAACTCCATTAGCTCCATATCCTTCAGAGGATCCAGTTCAAGATCATGGTCTTCACCTACAAAGCCCTCCATGGCCTCGCCCCACCCTACCTCTGCGACCTCATAACCCCCTACCAACCCACTCACTCCCTCTGCTCAGCCGGCGCCGGCCTGCTCCACATCCCCCAACCCACCCGCCCCACCATTGGTGGGAGAGCCTTCAGCCACTCTGCCCCCAACCTCTGGAATTCCATCCCCCAGTCACTCCGCCTCGCCCCCTCCTTAGCCTCCTTCAAGTCCTGCCTCAAAACCCTCCTCTTCGACCATGCCATCGATCACCCACCTTACCCTCCCCTCCCTTCTCCCTCCCTGACCCCAGCTCGGGTCTGAAATGCTGTACACTGTCCAGCGTCTTGGGACATCCTCCCGATGTGAAAAGCGCTATACAAATGTAATCTTGTTGTGTTGTTGTATACTTCATATTTTCAGCATTCATTTTTCTTTTAACTTCATGCAAGGTTTTACGCTCAATAAAAACAAGGGACTGACAAAACAGTGGGTTAATATTAGACAAGGCCCTTCGCATCTAGGGCCTAGATTTGAATTATGTTCAGATCAATGTTTTCTTCTTCTACAACAGCAACAACAACAACAAGATTCCATTTATAGAGCACCTTTCACGTCGGGAGGACGTCCCAAGGCGCTGTACAGTTGGGTCAGGACTCGAGCAGGGGGGATATGGTCAGGGTGAGAGGAGGGAAGGGAGGGAGCGAGGAGGGGGTAGAGAGTCGAGAGGGGAGCTGAAGGCACGGTCAAAAAGAAAGGTCTTGAGACCGGCCTTGAAGGAGGAAAGGGAGGAGGCGGCGAAGGCACTGGGGGATGGCGTTCCAGAGCCTGGGGGCTGAGAGGCTGAAGGCCCGGCCACCGATGGTAGGGCGGTTGGGGCGGGTGATGTGGAGCAGACCGGAGCCAGAGGAACGGAGGGTATGGGCAGGTAGGTAGGGGGATAGTAGGTCAGAGAGGTAGGAGGGAGCAAGGCCATGAATGACCTTGTAGGTGAGGGTGAGGATCTTGAATTCGATCCTCTGGGGGATGGGGAGCCAGTGGAGGCGAGCGAGGGTGGGAGTGATGTGGTGGTGAAGCCTAGTGCGGGACAGTACACGAGCTGCAGAGTTCTGAATGACCTGCAGCTTGTGGAGGGAGGTGCCGGGAAGGCCGGCGAGGAGAGAGTTCCCATAGTCCAGCCTTGAGGTGATAAAGGCGAATGGTGATAAAGGATAATGCAGGGTGTGTCTGTAATATTAATATGAAGCTAATTTATCTTATTTAATTGATTATAAATCAAAATTCTCAGGTCTGACATTCAATAATGAGATTTGTTTTCTTTCTCATCAGGTTATTCCCTCCAGATATGTTTGAGATATTTATTGATGTTGGGCATTATGTACGTGACATCCATGCATATGAGAAATTGGTAGACAAGTTGAATTCTTTTCCTGTAAGTGGAAATCTATATTATAGTGAGATAAACATTATTATTTTATGATTGTTTTGAAAAGAGAATAATTGTAAAATCTTGCAATTTTGTGTTTAGGATGATGACCTAAAACAAATTACTGAAAATATCGAAGGAGTTAACCAAAATAAAGCTCCAACAAAGTTTATTGGTAATTATGCCATTTTAGACTATCTTGGGAGTGGAGCATTTGGGAGTGTGTATAAGGTAAGTTATTCCAATGTTGCACTGTTTTAAATAGTTTTATGCAACAGCAACATTAACTGTACACTTCAACATCGTTTTTGAATTTATAGGTTAGGAAATACAGTGGACAAAATCTGTTGGCTATGAAGGAGGTTAATTTGCACAATCCAGCCTTTGGGAAGGACAAGAAAGATCGTGACAACAGTGTGGAGAAAATAGTGTCTGAGTTAACAATAATTAGAGAACAGGTGCATTTTCTTTATACATAAAATACAATTTTTTAAAAAACTCATTGAATATTAACTTTGTCACTCCTGTGTTTATTTTGATTAAGATATCACTTTGATTTGAGTTGATTTTTCAACAATTTATAAGTGGGTGATAATCTCACTAATATCCGTGTGAAATAGCATATATTTAAGGTTTGGTGGTGTTACAAAGGAGACCAAAGTCTCTCATGAATATGTACCCAACTGGTATTTGTGGAATGAAACTTGCTCAGCATCCGGCACTGTTTGTCTGTGTGTCATGTTTTTAATTTTTTTAAAAAAAAGACATATTTGAACATTTTAACTATCGTTTTGATCACCAAAAAGGCATATTTTCAGGTTGTAATGCTGCCACTGATGTTACTTCCTGTGTTCTACATGTACAATGTTGGAGGTGGGGCCTGCATATTGTTCGCAGGTGCAGCATGTAGGAAGTGATGTCTTTATGTATGGCGACCTTATGATTAACGAAGGGAATTCATTTTCCTTGATTTAGAAACTAGGAAATTGAAAACTCAGCAAATACAGATTTCTTCTATTTAAAAGTGGAAACTGGCAAGCCTAAAAATAATATAGGAAACTATCCCAGCAGTTATCCTTCAGACTAGTAATGAGACTAAAATATTAAAAANTAAAGGTAAGGGATAAGAGCAAAGGTCAGAATATAAAAAGTGATAAAGAAAACATAAATACTCTGAGAAGAAAAAGGGTTATAGGAAGTAAACACAAAAAGTGTGAGAAAAACACCATCAGGGCATATGGGCAGGGTGAGGACAGTTATCCGAGTTAGTGTTCTGTACATGAATGCGTGTAGAGTAAGCAATAAAACATGTGAGTTAGAAGCACAAATTCAGCTTAAAGGTGAGAATTGCAAATATCACTCTATTATTTAAGAAGGGAAGGGGGAGAAACCAGGTAACTACAGACCTGTCAACTTAACTTCAGTTGTGGGTAAATTACTGGAATCTCTCATCAGGGACCGAGTGACTGAGCACTTGGACAAGTATGAGCTCATCAAAGAGAGTCAGCATGGATTTGTGAAGGGTAGGTTATGTCTGATGAATCTAATTGAATTTTTTGAGGAGGTCACGAACATGGTGGATACGAAAGTGTCTATGGATGTCATCTACATGGACTTCCAGAAGGCATTTGATAAGGTTCCGCACAAGAGGTTATTAGCAGAACTAAAAGGGCATGGAACCGCTTTTAGGGGATAACCTTGTGACGTGGCTGGTATATGGTTGGGAGAAGGATAGTCATTCCGTTTAGACATTTACTGAGCTGGGAGGACTCCTGTGGGAGGACTCCTTTAATATATTTTCTCTCACAGTCTTCTCTCTTAGTCTCTCTCTCTCTCTCTCTATCAATGTCTTTCTCAGTCTCCTCTCTCAGTCTCGCCCCCAGTCTCCCTCTCTTTCTCTCACTATCCCAGTCTCTCTTTCTCTCTCAGTTTTTCTCTCTCTCTTAGTGCCTATCTCAGTCTCTCTCTCTCAGTGTGTCTCTCTCTCTTAGTCTTTCCCACAAAACACACAGTCACCACACTTTATAATATATTCTCTCTCTCTCTCTCTTGCAGTCTCTCTCTCCCTGTCTCTCTCTCTGATTGTCGAATACACTGACACACAGACAGAGAGACACTTGGTCTTTATTAGTATAGACAACTTGGATGAAAGAATAGAGAGCTTTTTATCCAAATTTGCAGATGACACAAAGTTAAGAGGCACAGGAAATTGTGTAGATAGGAGCAGGAACTTACAAAGGAAATTAGGCAGATTAAGGGAGTAGGCAAAATTGTGGCAGATGGAATTAAATGTGAGGAAGTGTGAGGTCATCCACTATGGATCCAAAAATAACAAAACAGAATATTTTCTGAATGGTGAGTATCTAAGAACTGTGGAAGAGCAAAGGGATTTGGGTATGCACATGCACAAATCACTAAACACAAGCTCACAGGTACAAAAAGTTGGCTGGAATTTAAAGGGGCTGGAATGCAAAAGTAGAGAAAATGATACCTTCAGATATATAGAGCCTTGCTTGGTCAGACCCCATCTGGAGTACTGCATTCAGTTTTGGGCACCGCACCTCAGGAAGGATATATTGGCTCTGGAGAGGGTGCAGCGCAGATCCACCAGAATGATACCGGGGCTTAAATGGTTAAATTATGAGGACAGATCAAATTGTGGAGTCCTGTAGCTCAGTGGTTAGAGCACTCGCTTTGCAAGCGAGAGACCTGAGTTCAATTCCAGTCAGGGCGAAACCTTGGGCAAGTTTCCTTACTCCACACGCCTAATAATAATCCCTCCAAAACCAAAACAATAATAAATTGGTCATTTTCAATCTACGACTGTTTGTGGGACATTGCTGTGCACAATTGGCTGCCGCGTTCGCCCACAAATATACAGTCAATTCACTTGACAGTGTGTTCTGTGAAGCGCTTTGGAAAGCGCTATATCAAATGCAAGGATTATTATTATAAAGTTGGTCTCTATTTCCTTGAATTGAGGAGGTTGAGGGTGATCTGCTTGAAGTTTTTAAAATATATAAAGGGATTCGTTAGGATAAGTATTTCCTCTGGTGGGGGAATCCAGAAGAAGGGGCATAATCTTAAAATTAGAGCTAGGCCATTTATGAGTGAAATTAGGAGGCAGTTTTTCAGCCAAAGGGTAGTGAAAATCTGGAACTCTCTCCCCCAAAAGGCTGTGGGTGCTGGATCCATTCACATTTTCAAGACTGAAGTGGATAGATATTTGTTAGGTCAGGATATTAATCGACACGGAGCAAAGGGGGGTAATTGAACTTGATGTACAGATCAGCCATGGTCTTATAGAATGGCGGAACAGTCTCGAGGGAATAAATGGCCTACTCTGTTTCTGTATTGCTATGTTTCTTAGATATGCATTTTTCATTACAGCTCCAGCATCCAAATGTAGTGAAATATTACAAGACCTTTGTAGAAAGTAAGTAGAAGTTTTGCAAAAGAAAAAAGATTGTTGGAATTATTTTGTTTGCTTATTTAAATTTTTTTCCTCCACCTCCATAGCAGGTGACAAATATGTGGATAAGGGTTTTGAAGTACAGTAGATGGCAGGCAATGGGATGGAGGTGGAGTAAAGTGGTCCTGGTCAGTGACCGGGTGTAGGGAAGGAAGAACAGCTTGTAATTGAACCTGACGTCTAGGTTACGAACAGATTCATTAAGTCTGAGGGATAGGTTAAGGAGGTCAGCGCCATAGATGAGATAAAAGATTATTCCCACTAGTTGGAAAATCTGTAACAAGGGGTTATAAACTCACTGCGAGAGTTGAAGGAGAGGTTTGGAAAATATTTTTATGGACATACAGAAGTCATTAGAAAAGATTTCTTCAATAGAGCAGCTAACACCAGCATAGATTTGATGAACCAAATGGGCTTTCTTCAGCGCTATCATTGTTTGATTCTGTGCTGTATCTAAAAGTGCTTTGTAACCTGTTGCCATTTTTAGATGACCGGTTATACATAGTTATGGAACTGATTGAAGGAGCACCCCTTGGCGAGCACTTTAATTCCCTCAAGGAAAAGCAGCAATGGTTTACAGAAGAAAGAATATGGAATATATTTATGCAAGTAAGAACCTTCACTGTCTGTATTCACCGTGATTCTGTGTACATTTGTCTGCCTGGCTTGATTGCTTTAGTTTACAAAATCACTGGTGACATAGAAAACCCTTTCCTCTAATAGAAAATTGAGAAGCTCAGATCCTTAATTGTCGTGTTGATGATTTATCTCTCTTAATTCTAAAATATATTAAAGGCTGTAATTTTAATCTTGGCTGAAGCCACTAGGGCTATCATAAATGCCTGAAATGTTCAATAGATTTTTCTGAAAAATAATTCTCAGTCACTGATGTATTTCTTTAGATATGTCTTGCACTGCGTTATTTGCACAAAGAGAAAAGAATTGTCCACAGAGACCTCACACCCAACAATATCATGCTTGGTGAGAAAGACAAGCTAACAATAAGTAAGTACTGTGCAAAATACCTTTTTGAAGTTAATTGTGAATTACCATGATGGAAAAAGCTTGTGTATTAAGCATATGTATTTACCATATTTATTATCGTTAGGATTCACTGTACAAAATTGACTTTTGTATAGCACCTTTCACATCGGGAGGATGTCCCAAAGTGCTGAATAGTCAGGGATTTGGACCCGAACTGGTGATCTATTTCTAAATATACTGCTCATTTTATCAGTGCTGCAGACCTCAATGTGCCGTTCGATTATTTTATAAGTGAGAAACCAAAATTTTAAATTATATCTGTATCGAGTTGTCATTTATCACTTACTTCACAGTCTAATTTCATTTTGTATTAACGTAATTTATAAATATTGAAAATAATGGAGGTCCTACAGGTATTGCCACTTCGACAGCAATAGATTTTGTTCTGCCCTTTTTCTTGTATTGAATTCAAGCCGGAGTGCAGTTCTTTAGAAATTGACAGCCTTCTGATATGCCTTGGGATGTCCTCCCAATGTAAAAAGTGTTATATAAATGTAAATTTGTATTGTATTGTAAGTGAATCATTACTTTAATGTGATTCCATAGAAATCTATTGCACTTTGAAAGAATCACACCTTAGTTCAATTCTGTCCTTTCCTGACATCCACGTACGCTTTCAGATAGCCGTGAGGAGTGGCAATCCAGGCTGATTTCTTGCCCTTCCCCTCAAGCCTCGGGGTATTGAACCTAATTGCAGAACCCCTACTACTGCTCAGTTTTGATATGCTGATCCAGAATTGATCCAGGATCAAACCTGAAACATTCCTGGTCAGAGTTGTTCACTGTCACACCAAAGATTCATTTACCCACTGAGCCATCACACAACAATAAAATTAATGGCTTTGTCCACTCCTTCATTTGCCCTTCACTCCTTTTAAAGATTTACCTTAGTGACTGTCACTCCTTGGGAGATAGGTAAGCATGGTCTCTTTAAGTTGGAGCTGAGCTGACTCCAAGGTGATGTGCTTGGCAACATAATATTGAAATTAAGTCAACTCTCTGTGGCAGTCTAAGCAGTCCAATTCCTGAGCGATACCCTTCTTGAAGGGTGCTTTATAAATTCAAATTATTGTTGTTGTTTGTTGAGCCAGACAGGTCCACAGTACTCAAGGGCACTGCTAATGACAGACCAGCCAGCATGGCTTATTTGCAGGATTTGGAGGGGCAGAAAGGGCAGGGACTCTATCCACTTTACTTAATTGCAAGCCAAAGTCCTGATGTATAGGATGATCCGACCTGGACAGACAGTGGGAAGCTTGAAGGACATTACTCTCAATGACAAGATTTACGGTTTTATCTGGTTAAACTCCAGCAGTACCTTAACATGCATTCCCCAGCTAAAATTGGGCATTCACTTCCTGACTGTATGTGCATCCACTTCCAAATTTCAGTCACTCCACTTTACTGTGAAGGGCTGTAAGATGTCCTCGCAATGTGAAAATATCTCTATCAAATGTAAGTATTATGATTGAAAAGATTGCATAAAGATTTTCCAGTGACAAAGCCTGAATCAGTCCTGTAATTGATCTCTTACTAAGCAGGAGCATCATTCAGGATTAAAATAATACCACTTCATGGTACTGCATCCACCTACAAATCACCTACAAATCCATCCACTCCCTGGCACCTCCATATCTCTGATCTTTTCCTATCCTACTCCTTCACTCCTCTCTGCTTAACTTGGGTTTTCTGCACATCCACTGGCCTCTCCATGCCACCATCGGTGGCTGAATCTTCAACTCCTATGCCCCTAAACTCTGTATCTCCTCCCTCCATCACTTTGTCTTGCCATCTTAAATTCTACCACCCCCTCTATCCCTTGCTCAGCGCCCAACCCCATTCCTGTAACGCACTCAGAGACGTTATCCTACATGAAGGATACTATACAAATACAAGTTGTTGTTTTTGTAATGCCAGTGGTCAGGTTAATTTAGAAAGTGGTTTGATGGCATTTGCTCACTGGCCTTTTTTGATATTTGATGATTTGGGAATTCAATCTAGACAGATTCATGAGCCAGGAATTTCACTGCAAATTATGAATTGTTGAGAAACCGCACATTTGGCCCACCGATTAAGCAAATAATAATAATATTAAAAGCAATAGTTATCTTTAAATGCCATGTTAAAACTTACCTCTTCAACTGTGCCTTTGCACCTCTCTCACTTTCTCGGCATCCAGCCTTGCGACTGTGAAGCACTCCAAGCCGTTGTTCTTTGTGAAGGACACTATACATACACCAGTTGTTGTTGGGTTCAGATGGATTTGCATTTGCCCATAATTTGTACTTAACAACTAATGAAAAGTCACAGAGCAGTTTTAGCCCTCAAACTTTATTTGGTTTCTCATCGATCCTTTCACTTGAACTATTATTCAAGAAGAAAATAATGCAGATACTCTTTTTTTTAAAAATGATCATCATCACTTTCTTAATTTATGGAGCAAAATATTAGCTTGCTTTCACCGAGAACTGAGAATTACACCAATACCTACGTTGAACAATACTTGGGAGCAATTTTATTGCAAAAAAAGATAAAAATTAATTCATAGACCAATTAATGTGATTTGCATCTGATTTGAACCAGGAAAAGAGTTTGTGGCACAAACTAACTAAAATCTGCCCATTCATTCTTTACAGTAAAAATAAGGTGCTTGTTAATAATGCTCTCTAACATTAGATGGCATTATAGGTCTGTGAGAAAACTGTGTGTCAGCCCTAAATATTTAAAATATTTTCAGGAGTTATAGCAGCATCTTGCTTTGAAAAAAATAGATTTCAAAACAGAGCCAAAGCCCCAGAAAAGCAAATAATTATTGAGAAGGGCTTCTGATTAAGTCAACTGCTCCATGGAAATATTTCATAAGAGGTTTGCCATCAAAGATGTGATTTCCAGAAAAAGATAGATTGAAGGCCAAAAATTTGCAATCTGTCTTTCTTTTCTGGGTAAACTGAACATTTGCAAAATAATTTTGACATTTAGTTAGAACTGTGTCATTAGCAACTTCTAATTCAAAAAGGAAATTCAGTAATAACAGGAGGGCATCAATTTAAGATCAGTACCAAAATGAAGGGAAAGTTTACAGTTGTTTTTCGATGGGGATTATTAGGACATACAAATGTTCTATCAACATTGATGGTTGAAGCAGAATCCATAATAGCTTTTAAAAGAGATGCTATGGAGAAAAGGCAGGGAAGTGGAACTAAGCACATAGATGTTACAACAATAACTTGCATTTATATAGTGCCCTTCACACAGGTTAGCGTCTCGGAGCGCATAATAGTAGCAGAGCTTGATGCCGAGCTGGGCGAAGGGTGGGGATGACCGGAGGCACAGTCGAAGAGGAAGGTCGTCAGGTGTGATACGAAGATGGGGACAGTATGAAGAGATTTGTAAATGAATGTTAGGATCTTGAAATCTTTGAATTCTGTAATAGACCTTCAGCCTTTCCCCCCCCACTCTGGGGAACTCTAACCTCAGTCCCTTTGCCTTGTCCCCTTCCTGGCCTCTTTCAAGACTCATCTCAAAACCTTCCTCTTCGACTGCACCTTTGGTCACCCTCTTACCCCTACCCTCCTTGTCCTCCACTCCTCAGAATTCCAAAGTCTAGCTTCGGTGCAAATCCTTGACTGTCCAGCACCTTGGGACGTCCTCCCAATGCGAAAGGTGCTATACAAATGTAATTTGTTGTTGTAATAGGGAGCCAGTGGAGCATGGCAACGGCTTTGGCGATGGGAGTTTGGAGTTTGGTGCGGGTGAGGATACGGGTGTTGAAGTTTTGAATTAGTTAGATTTTGTGAATGGTGGAGCTGGGGAGACTTTGAGGAGGGCCTTGGAATAATCGAGGTGCAAGGTGCCAAATGTATGGATAATGGTTTTGGCTGCATTGGGTGTTCGGTATGGTTAAAGGTGAGCAATGTGATGGACGTGGAGGGAAGGCGGTCCTCGTCAGGGAGAGAATGTGGGGTAGGGAGGACAGCCGGGGATCAAACTGACACCTTGGTTACACACAGCTTCATTAAATATGAGGGACTGGCCGGGTGGTCAAGGAGTTCGGAGCCGCAGGTGAAAAGACGTTAATGGGAGCCAAGGAGGATGGCTTCACAAATTCTCAAAATGGGATAGCTACACAATAATAATAATAATCCTTGTATTTGATATAATGCCTTATCATGTCTTCGATAAGGCGTTATATCAAATCACTTCACAGAATATACTGTGAAGTGAATGGACTGTATGCTTTGTGTGTGAAACATGGCATCCAATTGCGCACAGCAGTGTCCCACAAACAGTCGTGGATTGAAATGACCAAATATATTATAGGCCGCAGCTGTCACTTAAGACAGGAATTATTCTGGCAGTTTATGAACAACATAAACTTGAATTGATATAGTGCCTTCCGTGCCGAGGGGCATCCCAGAGCGCTTAACAATGGCGCAGACCAATGCCTAGCCAGGGGAAGGGGGAAGGTGACCATAGTCATGGGCGAAGAGGGAAGTCTTCAAGCACAACCAGAAAATGGGGAACGAGGGGGCAAGATGAAGGGATTGAGGGAGGGATTTCCATAGCTTCAGGGGGTAGTGGGTGAAAGCACGGCCGCCGATGGTGGAGCGGAGGATTCGAGGGACAAGGAGGAAGCCGGAGCCAGTAGAGCGGAGGCAGCGGGTACTGCTGTGAGGAGAGAGGAGGTTGGAGAGATAGGGAGGTGCCAAGGCATGGGGGGATTTAAACACTAGAGTGAGGATCTTGAAGTCAATCTGCTCTGTGACAGGAGCCAGTGAGTTTGGCAAGGACTGGGGTAATCGGGGTGTGGAGTTCAGTGCAGGTGAGTAGGCGAGCAGCGGAGTTTTGGATAAGTTGAATTTAGTGAATAGTGGAGGAGGGGAGACTGGCAAGGAGGCCATTTGAGTAGTCCAGCTGAGAGGTGACGAAGGCATGGACAAGGGTTTCGGCAGCTTGTGGAGTGGAGGTATTGTCAGAGACGGGCAATGTGGTGGAGGTGGAGGAAAGCGGTTCTGGGGATCGAACCTGATCAACTGCAGATTGAACTGGGGATGAACAGGATGTGGAGCCCTTAAAAAAATCTTAAACTTGTGATACAGGTTAATGCAGCCCCTATCCTATAGGCTTGATAGGTATACATTCAAAGAGTTAACAAACTCTTTGTTTTGGTCATTGATGTGAATTAGCACATCCAGATACAATGTTACTCAGTCAACAGATCAGCTTCTTGTCCACACTGAGTCAATCAAAATTTCATGTCTTAATTTCTCGCTGTTTGTATTCAGCCCCTCATTAATCTAATTAAAACAAGGCATATCCCTAAATAAAGGTGAAGTGAATTAAACAAATATGTTCCAATATTCATTGTTAATTTGGAACTTTCTGGCGGTTGGGAAAGGGGGGGGCGGGCGGCATAGAAGAGATGTACAGGTATTAATTAACTTGTCACTCACCATGTTCAGTGTGAAGCAGCGCTAAACAAAGTAGTAGGCTACATTACCAAAACAGTTGAGGTTGGATCCCCAAAATTCACGGCTGAGGTTTATAATACCCACTCATAGGCTACTGTATGCACTCTCATTACCACAATGTAAAGGAGCTGCCCCAGCCCTAAAAGTAGCATGTAGGAGAACAACGAGGGTGACTCCAGTGCTCAATGGATAAGCTATGACTTTTCAGCCTCCAAATAGGCATTTTAAAGGGAAACAGAAACATATAAGGTGCTTAACAGAGTAGAGCAAAAAAAGGAAAATACTTGGAATACTCCAAGGTTTCAGGAAAAAAACAGCATAGGTTCCGATTTGCAAAAGGGCAGGTTTATTTCTTTACACAGAGGATAATCAAAAGCTGGAATAGGTTACCAGAAAGGTAACATTGAGGTCAGGGCACTAAATTCATTTATCAAACAGTTTGCAATGATAAAATGGCAATGTGGCTATTCTGGAAGAATGGTCAAAAACAACAAATTACTTTTTTATAATATCAGAACCACTCTTGTGATATTGTTTTATATAAGATGTGTTCATAGCTTCCATGTGGAGAAGACTAAGAATCTCAGAAATTCCTCACAGCTTTTTGGAATTGTTTTCCATGTTTATTATATTGTATTGACCCTGGCAGAATATATACTTATAATAGAAATACATCAAAGAGTGGAACTGAAGGTGGTTGTGACATCATTGATGCAGAAGGACTATAATTTTCCTCATATAATTACTAAGATGTGGAGTGTTATTTTCCAGAATGGCATTGGCCAATTTTTTCATCTGATTTGAAAGAGGAAAACCTCTGCCTAGTGTTCTTCACGGAGTCATCCACCACCCCGCAAACATTTCTGTGGGAAATATCATGTAATATCAGAAGTAGTAATCATTGAAATTTACCCCATGAACCGCAGAAAGTACACATGTCAAGATCTTGTCCTTCAATTCCAGATGGTAGAGTGGGTGATGGCATCTCTCAATAATAGCTTCACATCAGTTATAGGAGTACTTGTAAAACAACTTTGTAAGCACAAAAGCACAAAAAGCAAAATGCTCATCATCCAAGTTGGAATATGATTCTGAAATGTGGTAAACACTTGTGGATTGAATAAAACAAGTGAATGACCTTCAGTTTTTCATCTCGAAACACTATATTATAAATAATAAAAAAAGAGCTGCAAGGTAGCACAACAATACAGACATTTTGATTGTGAGCCGAACAGAGGGAGGTCCAAATGATCCACCTTGAACTGACTTCAATAATTTCGGTAAGTGACACATTATTTATCGAACCCATATTCTCTTGCTTCATATTTTACAGTTTTGGTTATTATTGCACATGTAGGGTTAAAATTTGCAATGTTGTGATGTTGCAATCACAACTTTGCAATGTGTGTTAGTTAACACAGTAGTCAATTTAGCGACCCCACATAATTGACTTTACCTCAACTAGTCCCAGTTTGAGCTGGAGATTGACAACCCTCTTCAATGTTCAAAAAGCTAGCTGTGCTGTGCTTTGTGTGTCTCGATGGCACCGTAGGACTACTGGTTTGCTGGATACCAACTTAACTCTTGATAAAATAATATCCTCTGACTGGCTGTCCTTTGGCACAAGCCAGAATTCCAGTGCATATCTGGCTTCTTAGTCATGATTATTGAGGAGGGGGAGAAATGGGATAGGTTTGCTCCTGTACATAAGTTAATATATTAAATATCAGGTTTCCTAAACTGGCTGCCTGTGATAATTAGCACATCCCATAATTTACATTGTAAAATATTCTTGTCCTTCAATATTCCAGCGCATTACATTTGATTTTTCACAAGTTCTATGCAATTATCTTTGCTGTTCATGGTTCTTACAAAGTCATATCATGTTGCAGTCCTTCAGTTTACAGCGCAAGCTTATCCCCCGGCTACCTGGCCTGGCTCACTGGCTCACCATCCCCCAGTAGATTGAGTTCAAGATTCTTTTCTCACCTTTAAATCCCTCCATGTTATTGCCCAACCCTACCTCTGCGACCACCTCAAACTCTACCAACCCAGACCCTCCCTGTGCTCAGCGGACACTGGTTTACTTCACATCCTCTGCCCACCATCGGCTGTCAAACTTTCGATGTATCTGCCCCCACTCTCTGGAACTCCATTTTGGAGTCCTTTTAACTCGGTCATCTTTACCCCACCTCCACTTACCCTCAACCCCTCATTCCCCACCCCCAGCTCAGGTGCAAACCCTTTGGACATCCTCCCAGCATGAAAGACACTATACAAATATAAATTTGTATTATACTGTATATAGTCCAACAAGCATTAAGCATATTCTCCCGTGCTTACTTCTCCACAGGGGATTTTTCCAAATATATGTCTTCATTGTCAGAGGAGCGAAAAACAACATGATCACTGAGGAGAAAGAAATGTCTTCCTGGTATGAAGAACCCACTGCAACTGAAGAGCGTGTGGAAGATATACAGTGTAGCCTTGCTACAGCATGTTGTCTTTCTGGTTGATGTGATGTGCACAGTGTGAGACTGCCAATTCTCTTCCTTTGCCGATGCCATTCAACCCTCCAGAGTCTGCTGATTCTGAGAGGAATCACCTGGTGGTACTGTGGCTAATTTCCCACTTGAAGATTGAGGGTTACCCCCTACTGAATGTTCCTTGTAACGCCCCAGATGCTGATATCTAAATTTCAAATATTTAAATATGTGTAAATAAATTTATTGATATCTTAAACACAGCAAGTTATTATATCTACCGGAAAATGATTTTGACAGTTACAAGTTTAATTCATATTTTTAGATGTGATATTGCATTGAATTTACTTTTCACTGTTTAACACTTATTGCATATAATGTTGGATACTTATTGTTATTTAAAATATTTTAATCATTAACATAATCTAATGAATTTATATTCCTATAAAATGTAAAAATGTAAGCAACTCACTCCCAGATATTGTTTGACAGGGCATAAATGTTTCGAATAAAGCATTTGTTTTGATCACTGCTTTTTCCTGCTCTCCTTTTGTGCTCACAAATTCATATTTTGCATAAAATTGCATTTAGCAATGAAAACCAAAATTGTGAATTTTAGAAATGTGAAAAAAAAAGAAATGGAAGGAAAATAGGTTAACTTTTCATGACCCTTTCAGAACTTCAAATCAGCAGTGTTGCCCTGAAGGGTAGTGATTGAAGAGTGTTTTGAAGTCATGTGGCCCACATATACTGTGGGGTCTGTTAAACTGTTGGTTTATTGAATTGTAGCATTATTCTTGCCATAACCATAGATTTGCAGAAACAAATTTTGTAAATATGCTATAATCTAAATGTCAAGATTTGTTTTTGGTGTCAGTGATTGAATTGGTACTTCTGCTTTGTGAATCATTATGGTAGTTCTTCATTGTTTACTCATTCTCTTTACTTGTTTTTAATTATAGCTGATTTTGGTCTTGCAAAACAGAAGCAAGAGAACAGCAAGATGACATCAGTTGTTGGGACTATCCTATATTCCTGGTAAGCCTAAAGCTGGACTCTAAAGTTAATGAATTATTGAAGTTGGTAGAACTGGAACATTTGTGGGTTGAAAACCGAAAAGGATATTGGTAGAATGTGTTTACAGTGACTATATAATTTTTTTTAGTAATCCCTTCAAAAAATAAAATAAATAAATTTTGAAAATAAAAATTTGGTCACTTAATCCATTACTGTTTGTGGAAAACCCCTGTGTGCAATTGGCTGTAACTTTTCATCCACAAAACATACAGTCAATTCAAAATCTAAAGGAAATGTATTCATGTAAAACTGGACAATGTAAAACTCTCTATTGATACTTTGTATTCCCCATCACACTGAAGGTCTTAGCAAAGTAACATTTGCTGATATGTAATGCCTATGACACTCTGAAACCTAGCAATTATAGTACCATTCTGAGAAAAAGGAAATAATTGTTACAGGAACTGAAAAGACATGCATTTAAGGAATAATAATAATAATCCTTGCATTTGATATAGCGCCTTATCATGTCTTCGAGACGTCTCAAAGCGCTTCACAGAATATGCTGTAAAGTGAATTGACTGTATATTTTGTGGGCAAAATGCAGCAGCCAATTGTGCACAGCAGTGTCTTAGATTGAGTGACCTTTTTTATTTGGGGAGTTTGTCGGCCAGGACTTCGGGAGTGAGAGAAACTCCCTTCTCTTTTCGAATAGCGCAGTGGGATCTTTAACGTCCACCTGAACAACAACAACAACAACAAGATTGCATTTATAGAGCGCCTTTCACGTCGGGACGACGTCCCAAGGCGCTGGACAGTTGGGTCGGGATCCGAGCAGGGGGGTGAGGGGAAGGAAGGGATGGAGCGAGGAGGGGGTAAAAAGTCGAGAGGGGAGATGAAGGCATGGTTGAAGAGAAAGGTCTTGAGACCGGCCTTGAAGGCGAGGAGGCGGTGAAGGCACTGGGGGATGGAGTTCCAGAGCCTTGGGGCTGAGAGGCTGAAGGCCCGGCCACCGATGGTGGGGCGGTTAGGGCGGGGGATGTGGAGCAGACCGGAGCCACAGGAACGGAGGGTACAGGGAGGTAAGTAGGGGGATAGTAGGTTGGAGAGGTAGGAGGGAGCGAGGCCGTGAATGGCCTTGTAGGTGAGGATGAGGATCTTGAAATCGATCCTCTGGGGGATGGGGAGCCAGTGGAGGCGAGCGAGGGTGGGAGTGATGTGTTCCCGAAGCCTGGTGCGGGACAGTACACGAGCTGCAGAGTTCTGAATGACCTGCAGCTTGTGGAGGGAGGTGGCGGGAAGGCCGGCGAGGAGAGAGTTCCCGTAGTCCAGCCTTGAGGTGATAAAGGCGTGGACCAGAGTTTCAGCCGCGTGAGGGGTGAGGTAGTGCCGTAGTCTGGCGATGTTCCGGAGGTGGTGGAAGACGGTGCCAGTTGTGGCGCGGATGTGAGGGAGAAAGGACAGCTCAGGGTCGAACAGAACACCGAGATTCCTGATGGCTTTGAGAGGTGGAGAGTGAACAGGTACAGACGGGACCTTGGTTTAACGTCTCATCCAAATGACAGCACCTACGACAATGCAACATCCCAGCGCTGCATTGGAGCGTCAGCTTAGACTGTGGGATTTCAAGTCCCGACATGGGGGCTTGAACCCACAATCTTGTGACTCTGGGGGTATACACCTTTCCTGCCCCCTATTTTGTATCTGCCTTAGACCATTGTTTTTGTGATCATTTGAGCATTTGAGAATATTGAAAAAGGGCATTGAAAGAAAATCAAGGGAGAAATAATAAAAATAATGATAATAATAATCCTTGCATTTGATATAGCACCTTATCACGTCTTTGAGATGTCTCAAAGCACTTCACAGAATATTCTATAAAGTGAATTGACTGTATGTATTGTGGGCGAAACACTCACAATGTTCATAAACCTCAAAGACTTTCTTTGTGGCACATTAATGATCAAAATAAAGTGAAAATAAATACCAGGATTCCCCAGCTGGAATGAAAATTGAACATTATCTTCAGGAACTATATGGCTTTGAATAAATAAATACATAAAGAGATTGGTGGCTGACATCAGTCCGAATTAAATATATTATGATCTTAGATAAGTTAACAGAAATATTTGCTTATGAATAAAAATAATCAGACCGACTCAAATCCCCTTCAATAGCTCCCCTGACCCAATCACCATCAAAAGACGTCACTTGCCTGTGTGACAACTCTTATTGTAAATATGAGCTTTCATGCTTCGATTGGAGTAATAAATTAAATACTGGTAGCAATAAACTGAGTTACTGGGAGTATTGTTACTGAGAGCAATAAATTAAAAACTGAAAAGACATTGAAGAGCAGCAAAAGGATGTAAATCATCTGGGTTATATGTGTTTTCTCCCTCACTTCCTTCAGACCCTGTCCCAGTTCCTTTCCCACTTAGTCTATGGCCAAGGCTCTTGCTCAGTCAGAACTATATAGAAAGAAATTCCACTTGCGTCCAGATTTACCCTATTTATGTAACACTTTAGAGCATCCACGATTTTAAAAATTGTTGAACTCAATTGAAAACTTGCAGGGCTATGGAGTAAGAGCGGGGGAATGGGACTAGTTGGTAGCTCTTTCAAAGAACCGGCACAGGTATGATGGGCCGAATGGCCTCCTTCTATGCTGTAAGATTCTATGATTCAGTCTTAATTTTGAAGCTGGTTTTATGTAAAAATGAGTAATAATCCTTGCATTTAATAAAGCGTCTTATCAGAATTGAGACATCTCAATGCGGTTCACAGAATTTACTGTAAAATGTAGTGTTTGTGTATTTGTAAACAAATGTATGGAGAGAAATTCCACCTAGCTCCAGATTTACTCTATAAATAAAACATTTTATAATGTCTAGAATTTCTCAAATATTTAAATACAGGTTTAATTTTGAAGCCCATTTTCTGCAAGTTCCTTCCAGAACTACTTAAGGAAGTGAATATATTTTATTTTAATACCTAAAGCACTATTTTGCCTGTTCAGTGTTAAATGTTCTAAAGTTTCCCCATGCAAGTATTTTCCCAAACACCCAAATTCAGTTAATTTAGAACAAATATGAGGAAACACTACTTCAGTGAGGGAATAGTAAACTTATGGAATAGGTTCCCTAGGGAGATAGTGGAAGCAGAAAATATTGTTTGGTTCAAGAACAAATCACATAGATTTCTGCTAGAAAATAATATCTCGGGATACAACATATAGTTTGGGTCAAGGGACTACCAGGATGGTGGAAGGCAAACTAGATGGACCTTGTTTCACCTAGCAAATTCTTACGTTCTTTTTCTTGGAAATAAACGTTGTGACAAAATATGTGTGAAGTCGTAATTGTATATATAAATATAGCTAGTATTCAGATATCTTTGCAACCTTTTATTCTTTTAAAATACAAGCACTAATTTGTAATGTTATAACCCAAGAAACTGTAGTATGCTTTCTGAACACAGAAATCGAAGTTAACAAATCCCACCTGTATTTTTAATATCTCCAAAGGTCACAGTACCATTTGGAGTCAAACCTCATTTGATTTGACTCCAACAACAACAACAACAACAAGATTTCATTTATAGAGCGCCTTTCACGTCGGGAGGATGTCCCAAGGCGCTGGACAGTTGGGTCGGGACCCGAGCAGAGGGAAAATGGTCAGGGTGGGGGGAGGGAAGGGAGGGAGCGAGGAAGGGGTAGAGAGTCGAGAGGGGAGCTGAAGGCACGGTCGAAGAGAACAACAACAACAAGATTACATTTGTACAGCGCCTTTCGCGTCGGGAGGATGTCCCAAGACTTCAGAATGTTAATGATGAAACTTTTATTCACTGCCATTCAAAGATGTTAAAATGTGAAACGCTTTATGAAAAACGCATTTAAAATAATTTCAATTCATTTTTGAAGAAAATCAATTTTTCCAGCGCCTTTTATAAGTGTGTCATTACACATGTCTATTATTATTAAATAGGAATGTGAATTTTGCAGAGCTGTACTTATAGTTTTGCATCAGTTTTTAAGAGACTGCTGTCACAAGAGAAATATTTTGTGTAAATTATTTCCTTAAAGGATCTTATTATTTGTGGCCCAAATCAGTCTTTAATAATTAATGTTTTGAAGTGCTTCATCTTGAGTTCCTGGGTAGTGATTGTGTATTTGTAGGTGAATGGGGCAGCCAATTTATGAAAAGCAATATCTCACAAACAGCCATGAAATGAATCACCAATTTTATCTGGAAGATTGTTGGCCAAGACATGGGAAGATACACTGTTTGAATAATACCAAGGAATGTTTAATGTCCAGCTTGGTTGACTTCTATCAACGCAGAGATTGCTCCCAATGTGCCAGGATGACACTATTCTTAGTAATATATTTATCCTTGTATTATGTTAAAGTAAAAAAAAGACTGAGAGGCTGCTGAATTCCAACTTTGGCATTAAACTGGATGTAAATTTGAGTTTCTTTGGGATCCATTTTGGGCTTCTGCTTCCACTCTAGAAAATGTAAAATTTTCATACTTTCCCCAAAGCTAAAATCCACAATCAGATATATAATAACCCCCAAATAATTTCAACCAAGTAACACTGGCAGTAATAATAATAATAATAATAATCCTTGCATTTGATATAGCGCTTTTCACGTCGGGAGGACGTCCCAAAGCGCTTCACAGAACACACTGTAAAGTGAATTGACTGCATATTTGTGGGCGAACGCGGCAGCCAATTGCGCACAGCAATGTCCCACAAACAATCGTAGATTGAAAATTAAAAGTAAAACCAAAGCAACCTAGAGGAGAAAACAATTATACAAAGTGGAGCTATTTCCAGGGTCATGCTGGCTAGAAATTAAAAACATATGTTACAATACATGTTTGCTAAGAAAAAAATATACTTTGAGAGAACTAAGAGGTACATACATATGAATTTAACAACTTAATTTTTTTTGAAAGTAGAGATTCAAAGATAGTTACCCTCAATGGAACAAGAAATGTCTAAAATACCATCAGTAGTTTGGAATTCACACTTTAAAAATATGACAAAGATGAACCCGTATCTTCACCCATGGACAACGTGGAAATGGTGACTTTGGTGTCTACAGTGAAAGTCACATTAGAAACTAAATTTTATAAGGCATTTGTTTTATAGTGGAGAAAATTATTAACAAACATTTTCTGGCATAAGCATAATCTTTGCATCACCAACACCATCTCACAAATACATTTAATCAGACACAATGTCTCTTTTTGTTGACTTCAATGTAAAGCTATCCAGAAATAAAGTTATACCAGATGCTTCTCCAAAATGATTCTGACATCTCATAAGATTCAACTTAATAGATGTTCAATAATATTTAGTTTGGGGTTTCTTTTGATTATATTTTAAATTGACATGGTGGATTTTGTTTTACAATAAAATCACAATCTTATGTAATCAAAATGGATTAAGATACCTTTAACACAAAGCTAAAGTATGTGAAAAAAAATGCCTGATCTGTCAAATCAGAGATGCTTTTTGTGTAGGTTTGTCCTTGAACAGTTACCCTTGTTGACTATCAGTAAAATGATGCAAAATGATGCACACAAACGTAGTCTGTAAAGCTGTGATTTATTTCTTCTTGTAATTGTTAATTTAAACCCGGATCCCCTGAGCTCTTGATGGCTCTGGGATTTTACTCTTCATTATTCATGATTGTTAGCCTTGAGTTTCAGAAATGCTAGAAAGAGGAGTTCTACATTTTTTAAGGTTAACCCATTCAGGAGATATTCCAAAAACATTTTAGATTATTATCCCAAACATTGTTGTAATTTGTTTATTAATAATAATAATCCTTACATTTGGTATAGCGCCTTATCACGTCACTGAGGTGTCTCAAAGAGTTTTGCAGAATATACTGTAAAGTGGATTGACTGTATATTTTGTTGGTGAAATTCATACACAATTGTTCATATGAAATAATTAAATTCTTTAACAAATGGTGTTAAACAATTCGATTCTTAGGAGGAAATGAGATAATTAAGTGGTTGTTTGTTTTGAGTTTCACAAATGCCTGTAACTCAAAGTGAAGGAGAGAAAAACTATCATTATTGTCTAGGTCATTGCACTTGTATTGAACCTTGCGATATTGACTGAATGGAATTAACTGCATAATCAACAGTAATCATTATGTTAAAATTGTCCTTCCTCCTTTGTCAGCTGTGGGAGGATACATAATGATAAAATTCAGCCATCATGGAAAGGGTGGGGGGGATGAATAATGGAAATGAATTCCTTGGAGAAGTCAACACTTAAGAAATTAATGATGGGCATTATCCCTGTTAGCCCAGAGATTGTGAAGAGCGAACCATATGGAGAAAAGGCAGATGTCTGGGCTGCAGGATGCATCCTGTATCAGATGGTAACTTTGAATCCTCCATTCCACAGCAGTAACATGCTTTCCTTGGCAACAAAGGTAAGGATATTAATGACAAGCAGTCTCCGAGTATTATTTTAATGCTAAATTAAAGTAAATCTAGAGCAACTAATGATTTGTTTTGTAGCTGATATAAACGTAACAATGTGTGTAATATTGATTTATGATTTAAGTGACTTTGTCACCTGCAGGCTATATCCAGGGTACAATGATTGATTCCCTTGCTCCACCTTTCACTAACTTAATTCAGTGAAGATCCTGCAGCAAATCAATTTCAATTGGATTCCTTGCTCTCCTCTGTACTTATGACCCGGATGGCTTCCTTAATACATAGTGACTTATACTACATGCCACAAGAGAGGTTCAGACAAAGAATGCCCTTTGACCCATTCGTTCAGAAGAAAAGTAGGGTGGGTATTCTGACTCAGTCTTTCAGAATACCCACCCTACTTTTTCAAACTTTCTTAAATAAGGCCAATTGTGCCGTCCTCAATTACTCTCCTTGATAATTTGTTCCCGTCGTTAATTACTCTCTGGGATAAATAAGTATTTTCTGGGGTCTGTCCTGAAATTACTCTTACAATCCGGAACCTGTACCCTCTTGTTATGCTGCCTTGGCATATCTGAACATTCAGAAAAAGTCCCAGTACAGCACCTGAAGCACTCCATTCAACTTCACTCCCATCTCAAGCTAGATTGAATTGGATAGGAACTCTTGATCGTGGAGGGAGGTAAGTGAGGTCTCTTTAGAGCTGAACTGGCTCCAAGGTGACATGCCTTGGAATAGATTGTTGGAGTCTAGCCGAGTCAATCGTCTATGTGGTCTATGGTTCCTGAGGCAAGTGGGTCAACAATACTTCAGAATACTGGTGACGACAGACTAGCTAGCTTACTAATATTGGAAGGGTCGACCTCCAGGGGCAGGGAATGTTCCCGCTCAGCTCCTAATAATAATAATCCTTGCTTTTGATAGAGTGCCTTATTACTTCTTCGAGACATTTCAAAACTTTTCACAGAACATACCGTAAAGTGAATTGACTATATTTTGTGGCCGAAACACGGCAGCCAATGACACACAGCAGTGTCACAAAAACAGTGTAGATTGAGTGACTATTATTATTTTCTTTTGAAGGAAGTATTACCCCAGAAAATCAATCTGCCAATCGACCAACAGCTGGGTCCCTCCATTTACTGCTAGGTAAACAGAGGTGTGTGGAGTAAGGAAAGTTGCCCAACATGTTGCCCAGACTGGAATCAAACCCAGGTCTCTCGCTTGTGGGGCGAGTGCTCTAATCACTGAGCTACAGCACTCCACCCTACAAACCTCGCTAGACGAACAGTGGGAAGCTTGCCAGACAGTGTTTTCAATAGCAAGCTATGTGGTTTCAGCTGGTTGGAGGGCTCATTCCATTCGAATTGCAAGAATTTTCATGTGACTGTCCTCTGATTCCTTCCTTTAACCGATGACTAAAAGGAAGGAAGCAGTTAACTACTTTTGATACCCATTGATAATGAGTCTATCATGTGGTACTTTGCCAAAGGCCTTTTGGAAATCTAGGTACACTACATTACATGGCTTCTTCTGTCAATTTAGGATTTTAAATCCTCAAAAGTAAATCCACGGGTCACACAATGAGTGTTGAATGTTGGATAACACATTTAATGTTCTCCAATCTGAAAACTTCTAAGAAATTGTCATTTAATATGGTTATTATCTTCTATTCATCCTCCTTTTCAACATCCTATGGGTCCCTTGGGGCTTTAAATTCTTCTCTGTCTACCCTCCTACTGTCATTATATTGAAAAATTGTTTGGCATCATGCAGCTATGTTGCTTTTCAATTCTCAATTGGTACCCCTAATCTCTCTTTTTTAAACCAGCTTCTGCATATGTTAATTGCAGTTACATTTCTTCAATTTTGCACCCCTAATCTTTTTTTAAAATCCGCTTCTGCATGTTAATTGCAGTTACATTTCTTCAATTTTGCACCCCTAATCTTTTTTTTTAAATCCGCTTCTGCATGTTAATTGCAGTTACATTTCTTCAATTTTGCTGCTGCTTAAATTGAAAGGGATTTCTGATGTGATCTTGTTCATGGTTATATGTATACTCTGGAACTTCTGCCTTCACTTATGTTGCTTAAGTTCATCCAGGTTAAAAGCTATTTATTCCACCCTTCCCCCTTTCTGTGTAATGGCAGGTAAGGGTCCCACTTGGAAATTAGTTGTGGCTGTTTCAGCCTACTTCATAGTAACACAAAATTGAATGTAAACTGGCAATCAAGTCTGCATTCGTGTTAAGAGAGAACTTGAGGAATCTCACACTGGTTCAATTGAAAGTTGAGGCTTCTGTTACAGAATGCTCAGGAACTGCATCTATTCCATAATTTGTTTGATTTTGAAGTGCTTAAAGTAACCTTTTTTAAAAAAAAGAGTTCAGTGTTAGTTTTAGTGTTGAATATAATTTTACAATAGTTCATGAAAATACAAAAGGTTGGATTTATAATAATAGTTCATATTTATGTGGGCTTAATGGGTGACATCTTTGTAAAAGCTGCTCAGTTCTGGTTTCCCTATAATTAACTGTTATTGTGAGACTGGATGACAAACTTATGTGTGGAAGCAGGTACTGTTCTGTATTAAATTATGCATATTAGAGAAAGTGGATGCAAAATGAATATGGCAGTTTAGGTGGATATAGGTGTAACATGTACGTATACATATAGTGAAACAAGGAGGAATGGTTCATCCAGAAATAACTTGCCTATAGGTTGGACTGTATTTGATGATTAGAATATGCCGTTTACTTCCATTAAGAATATTTTGTAAATTATAAGTCTAAAGTTGTTATATTTTATATAGGATAAAATAACATGTTTTTTCAGCTAAGGATTTTCATCTTTTAACTTTAGTTGTGTCATGCAAGATAAGCTTGGACCCACATTTCTAGAGATTAAATGGTACAACATGTAATTTAAAAACTTGTAGAATATAAGATTAATGGAAGGTGTTGCACAGTCTTGAGATCCTGAAAAAGACAATGGAGATAGGTTGGAGATATTGCAATGACTTTGATTTTAATACAATGTAGATGCAGGGAACATGTCACACAATTCATTTGAAGTTTGGGAGAAATTATAGGGAAATTCGGAGTAGCAACAGAATACAATCAATCCCTGGCTAACAAGGGGGAGATTTTCCACCAAGTGTTAATGCATTTAAAATAAATATAATAAAATACATTCTGTAAGTTCTATCTGATATTTAAAATAAATAAAATAAGTAAAAATAAATCCTCTCTAACAAAGCACGGTGAGGTGGATGCTGCTCAGAAGCTATAGGAAGCACGTGGGCTACACACAGCGTGGGTGTGTGCTTGGAGAGTTTGGCTAGCAGGAGTTTTGAATTGTCCACACATGGGGTGGATTTTTCGCTTGTAGAATTTTTTAAAAATTTTTTCAGGATTTGGTTCAGCTAAGTCTGAATTCCAGATACTTGAAGTCTAGTTAGCCAGGGGTTGAGTTTATTGGTAAAATTTACAAAAACAAGAAAGGTTGTGGTGAAGAGAGAACTGAAAGAGAGGATTAATTCAGTTTTCACAACATTTCTTTGCAGAGCTCAGGGCAAGAAGTAGTACAGGTATTATGTGACATGAATCGACTTTACAACCCCTTTGCACTTTTTTGCATCAACTATTATGATCATATTGGCAGCTATGGATAACAGATGGGGAATAAGGAAGATGATAGAATATTACAGCACAGAACAGGCCATTCAGCTAATCAACTCCATGCTGGTGCTTTTCTCACAGTCTAATTGTGACTATCCTCCTGGGGGGTGGGGGGGATGAACGGGGTCACCTTGGAGCTGAGCTGGAACCAGGTGATCTGCATGACACCTAAATGTTGGAATCGAGTCAATCCTCTGTGGTGGACTTGGTGGTCCAGTTCCTCAGCCACAATCCAGTATTCCATACACATACAGTATTCCAGAGTACTAATATCAGGCCAACTAGCCTGGCTCAATAGCAGAATTTGGAGGAGCAGACTGGCTGCAGGGATTTTTCCCAATCAGCTGGTGTGCGCAATTGGTTGCCGCGTTTTGCCCGCAAAATACACAGTCACTCCACTTTACAGTATATTCTCTGAAGCGCTTTCAGACGTCTTGAAGACTTAATAAAGCGCTATATCAAATGCATGGATTATTATTATTAACCCTGCAAGCCAAAGCCCTAACGTGTTGCTAGCTGAATAAGCAGTGGGAAGCTTGCCAGACAGTGCTCTCAATGGCAAGCTTTGCAGTTTCCTGGTGCCATCCACCGTTCCTGGTAACCTGTTCCAGTTTCTTGATGAGTACATATTTCCTGGTGTCTGTCATGAAATTGCCCCTTGCAACCATAAACCTGGGTTTACTTTCTCAATCTCAATTAAAATCTTATATGTATATGAGGTTCCCTATGAGATGTCTCCTTTCAAGACTGAATATCTTTAACACTATCTAATTTCTGCTCGTAGCTCATTCCTCTAACACTGGGTATCATCCTGGTTGCTCTTCTCCGCACTGCTTGGGCCTGGGCAGTTCCCTCATGTTGCAATCTAACCAGAGCACTATACAGCTTTTGAGTGTGATTTCTGGGTATATGAACTCAACTGATTAGGCAATATCACCTCACATACTGTCTACATTGTTTATTACTGACGCACACTGTTTTGACATGATGAGCAATGAGTCAGCTAACACTCCAAGGTTTCTCAGCTTTCATCTTGGAGGACGTCCTATACGCAGTATCCTGAGTTTACATATACCAAACTTCATTTGCCAGCTATCACCCATGTGGATATCCTATCAAGATAAATGTTTACGCTCTTTGTAAACATTTGCTGCCACCTCTGATTCCAGTCCACCCCACCTCACCTCAGCTGGCCTCATCTGCAAATGTAACTATCTTGCACTAAGTGTGTGAATAATTATTAATGAATACAAAGATTGGAGGCGCAGACCCCTGAGGTACCCGATTTAATACCTCCCAATAATTCTCCTAGCAACGACTTCTGCTTTGTTCCCTTCAGTAAAGTTTGAATCCATATCCATGTCTTGCCAGGATGTTGGGTGTCAGGCAACAGTTTTTTGTAATAATAATCTTTGCATTTGGTATGGAGGACATCCCAAAGTGCTTCACGGGATATACAGTAAAGTGGAGTGATTGTTTTAGTGTCCCTCCTGGAAAAAAATAAAGCTCCAGGAGTCATTATCCACTTTTATTGCCTCTCATAAAACTGTACACGATACTCCAGCTTTATGAAGGTCTTACACATGTTCAATATATCTTACTTGCTTTTATATTCTGTGCCTTTAGATTAAAACCAAGGGTTTTGATTGTCTTTTCATGGATTATGGATATCTACTGGCTCTGTTACCTTTAATGACCTTAAGGGTCTGCCTAGCAGTACCATTTGCACAGTATGATGCACTGGAAAGTATTTTGAGATGTTTCTTTGTCTTTTTCATAAGTTGTGGCTCAAATGATTCTTTTTGTTATTCTTAGAAATAATTTTCTAAGTCTATTTCTTACAGATTGTAGAAGCAGCATATGAACCAGTACCAGAAGGACTGTACTCTTGTAAAGTGTTAGAGACCATTAAAAGGTAATAAGTATTTACTGTGAAGTACTAGAGTCCTGTAGTTCAGTGGTTAGAGCACTCGCTTTGCAAGCAAGAGACCTGGGTTCAATTCCCGGCAGGGTGAAACCTTGGGCAACTTTCCTTACTCCACATGCCTGATAATAATCCCTCAAAAATAAATTGGTCATTTCAATCCACGACTGTTTGTGGGACACTGCTGTGTGCAATTGGCTGCTGCATTTCGCCCACAAATATACAGTCAATTCACTTTACAGTCTATTCTGTGAAGCGCTTTGAGACGTCTAGAAGACGTGAAAAGCGCTATATCAAATGCAAAGATTATTACTATTATAGTTATTCAGGGGACATTCTTATTTGACTGAAATGTTTCTTAGACTAGTCACAGCTGATGCCGCCAACATACAATCATTGTAAACAAACTGTTAAAAAGCACTAAAACTTGTTTGGGGAAAATTAAAATTGAACTAACTGTTATTCAATGAATTGTGTTAAATTACAACAAGGCAATTGCAACAAAATAGTAATAATAATCTTTACATTAGATATAGCCCCTTTCATGTTGGGAGGAAATCTCACAATGCTTCACCGGATACACTGTTCTGTAAAATGTGACTGTATATTTTGTAGGTGATGCAAAGGATGAAAGGTCTGGTCTATTCCCTATTTAGGGAAAGCCATCACCTATGGTAACTACATATCTTATAAGCAAAACCCATGGTGTGGCATTTTAGCTTACAGTTACCTTAGTTCTATCCATTCACTTGGACTCTCAGTAGAATGCCTCCCAGTAATTGGCACAGAAAAATAGGAAAATTATCACTTTCCTTTTCACAGCTAGATAATATTTCATCATTGTGCACATTTTAAAATTATATAAACAAAATCAAGGATCTAATTTATATCAAATACAGTGTTTACATTTATTTTTGATACAAATATTATTAGTGCTTTGCAGGTTCTATCATTTTACTCCTAAAATCTTGCTGTTTTAATTCTGCTTTTAACTGTTCCTTCGACACATCACCACATTCAACTTTTACATTTCTATTTTGTTTACGCCCTCAATTTCTGACTTTACTGCGGTACTGAATCTAACTTGTTCTTTCAGAATCTTTGAAAAATCCTGGTAATGCCCTTGCACATCCTTTCAGTCCCTAGTTAGGTAGTGAGCAAGTTTCTGAAGGAGGTTTCTGTATTGAAGTCTTCACTTAATTCTGGGATCACACTTTGCAAAGATGACAAATACATGAAAAATACAAATATCTTCAAAAATACTGAAGAGATTCAATCAAAATATGATAGAACTCTTTCCTTTTTAACAGATATATAAATTGACCAAGTGAAACAGGAACAAGTAAATTTGTATCTTTCATCGCTAAGCAAATCCTTTTTTGGACAAACCACCATAAATCTTTCCTGCTTATGACAGTAGGATTTTTCAAAAGAACATTGTTTTCTGCCCTTTGGGACAGGTGAACAATTTAATCAACTTGATAAAGCGGAATATAGCATAAATCTTTATTTTCTTCACGTAGCTGCAGCTGAGTGTTTGTCATTTTAAAGATTCTCCTGTGTCAACTTACTGTCAGATTATGTTAACATTGCATTAAGTTTGGCAGATGATTTAAAGCTATGGAGTTGTAGGCAAATCCTCACAACTAACAGGAGGAAATCCTATTTCCTCTTGATAGTACAAAGGCATTTATAGACCTTTGTGGATTGCTAAATCTTGACAGCTAAATCAGACCGTCAGCAGTGTAGATATTTTCAACATCTGTTGTACATAGAGACATATTCCTCCATTACAAAGACTTCCCCAGAGAATTGATCACGTACACAATCTAGCAAACGGATTAACTGTGGAAAGTTGTCTGACCAAAAGCGTGATCTTCAATCATAACATCAATTTCAAACATTCTGATTGGGGGCGGTGGGGGTGGGGTGCACATGCAAGTTAGATCTCTCTAGGATTGAATTGGATCTGGCAAAACCATTGCTTCATTGGTCCCTGATCTATTATTTTGTACAATAATATATGTGTTTCATACAGTCCACAAAATACACACAAAATATACAGACACATCACTTTACATAATATCTTGTGAAGAGCTTTGAGACGTCTCAATGCTGTGATAAGGCGTTATATCAAACACAAGGTTTATTATATGTAGGACCTTCTCATGTTGCCGAAATGACTTTAAGTGTTTCACATTATTTACTGTTGAATATATTGACCATGTATTTTTATGGATGAATATATCTTAATCTTGAAGAAATTGGGAGAAAGAATAAAGCCACAAAAATGTCAAAGTAGTATCTTTATTAATGTAATAGAAACTATGTAATTGAAATTGAAAGAACAATTTAAATATTACAAATCAAAGTAATGCAGGTATCAAAATGTCAAGAATAATGGCTTTATGACTATCATATTAAACCAGAGCTACTAAATAAGTAGTCAAAGATTTAAATAAAGCACAAACATTTCTTCTTGGCTTATTTTTGTTTGTTCTTCCCCATTCTTTCTTCAACTGTATTTTATTATCATAACTTTGCTTTTATTTTGTCTAATATATTCCAGTACAATTTTTAATTTTGTTTAAACTTCTTACCTGTTTTACTCGGCTTCTCTGTGTTATATCATTCATTTTGCATGAATTTGTCAGAGTAACAAAACAAAATGATCTAGCTAGAATCATCAAGAGACCCCCTTATCTTATTGGGAATACTAGTGGCATGGTAATGATAAAGATGTAGCTAAGGGTCTTATATGCAGTGATTGTTTACAGAATCCCTTAATAAGGATTCCCAAGTGGGAACTCCTTCTATTATTGTATAAGGTTACTTGGAGAAGCTCTATTCTGAAAGTAGACTGGTTGACGTGTCATGTTTCTGGCATCCATATTAAGGAATCCCTTTTAAAATCACCACAAAACAAACCCTAAAGTCAACCTTCTCCATTTTTCTTCACCAAAGACTGAATAGGGTTGGTGCAAGATTGTCAGTGGCTCAGAGCGCCCTTTTACACAGAAAAAACAATACAACAACTTACATTTATATAGCTCCCCTCATGTCTTGGAGCGCTTAGAATGATTTGGGGGATAGTGGCTGGAAACACTGCCCCCAATAGAGGAGACAAGACACGTGCAGAAGAACCGAGCCAGTTGAAGAAAGGTGGTGGGTAGTGGGGTGTGAGCAGATTGAAGAGGTAGGGTGGTGCCAGGGCCTGAAGTGATTTGAAAGTGAGAGTGAAGGTCTTGAAATAGATCCGTTCAGCAATAGGGAGCCAGTGGATCTGGCAAGAATTGAGGTGATGGGGTACGGAGTGCAGAGCCTGGTATGGGTGAGGATATGGGTGGCAAAATTTTGTATCATTTTCACTTTGTTTATAGTGGAATTGGGGAATCTGGTGAGGAATGTATTGGAAAAATCAAGGAGGGAGGTGACAAATCATGAATAAAGTTTTCAGCAGTGTTTGAAATAAGATAAAGGTAAAGTTGAGTGATGTGGTGGAGGTAGAGGAAGGCAGTCCTAGTCAGGGACCGGATATGAGATAGAAAAGATAACTGGGGATCGAACCTGACATCAAGGTTGCATATAGGTTCGGTGAGTCTGAGGGATGGGCAGGGAAAGTTAAGGAGTTCAGAACTGCAGGTGAGAAGATGTTGACAGGAGCCAAGAAGCATGGCTTCCGTCTTGTCCATGTTCAGCTACAGAATGTTGCTGTTCATCCATGCCTTGATGTCAAATAAGATAAATTTGTCAGTAGCACAGAAAATATTGATAGGATGCTCTCTATGTTCACATCCTACTATTAGAGCATCTGTTTTCATGTGCTCTAGAAATGTAGGACAATTTTATTTATTGATGGACATATTGAAATATTTGCCACACTGCTAAAGTATATGTCGATCTTATTTACCTTCTCATTTATTGGTTGAGAATATTTCATTTATTTCCCCCCAAACCATACATAACTAGAATTCTCAACAAGATAATATTCTTCTTATTGATTATGGCTAAATGTCCTCATCCAGTGTTCTTTGGGATTGTATAAGTAAACATTGAGCTGACAAATCAGATTTTTATTGGAGTATTTCCACTGGTGCTTTAGCATTTAACGCAGTTACACGTAAATTGATAGAATAGATCCTAAAGCACAGCAACAAATTACATTTGTATAGTGCCTCTCATGTTTGGATTGCTGTATTAGTCGGAGTCTTGTAGCTCAGTGGTTAAAGCACTTGCCTTGAAAGCAAGAGAACCTGGGTTTGATTCCGGACAGGGCAAAACATTCGGCAAATTTCCTCACTCCGCATGCCTCTGTTTATCTAGCAGTAAGTAGGAACCTGGTTGTTAGTAAATTGGTGGATTGCTTTCCCAGGGTTAATAATCCCTTCAATTTAACTAAATAAAGAAAAGAAAATAATAATTTGGTCACTCAATCCCTTCCTCACTCCCTTCGCCTCACCCCCTCTCCTCCTATTTTCAGGTCTCTGCTGAAGACCTTTCTTTTCGACCGCGCCTTTGGTCACCTTCCTCCCCCTCCCCCTGGCTCGGCCCCGGGATCCGTTGCTGTGAAGCGTTCTGAGATGCCATCCGGCGTGAAGAGAGCTATATAAATTCAAGTTGTTGTTGTTGATGACTGTTTGTGGGACACTGTTGTGTGCAATTGGCTGCCGCATTTCACGCACAAAATGTACAGTAGATTCACTTTACAGTATATTCTGTGAAGTGTTTTGAGATGTCTCAAAGACGTGATTTGATGCTATATCAAGTGCAAAGATTATTATTATATTATTAAATTCCTCCAGTCCCGAGTCTGATATCAGCTCAAGTGAATTCAGGACTCACTTTCAGATGAAATAACTTTTCACCTGATATCAGACTTTTACACTGATGCCTTGTTAGGCTACAATAAATTGTGTTGAAAATGGTTGACCTAATTGTATAAGCAATATTGTAAAGGTATAAGGTAAATCAAGCCTACGCTTTCTTTAGCTTTGTGTGGCTTGAAACCATTTGGTGGTCTATTGTCAGTAAAACAGAGCCCCAAAACAATCCAAAGATTACTATGGAAACCTTTTTTTGCACAAACAAGTTCAGAACAGATTGTCTGTCTGTGTCAGTTCCTAAATACTTTTGTGAGTCACTTAATTCCTGACAACATTTATAGCTTATTCTTCCTGTACTTGCTGCTCACAAGTAATTTATCATATACACTTCTGTGGTTTGGCAACAAAAACAAGAAGAAAACAAATGTAAAATAATGACATTTGTGAGGTAAACTACACTGCGCCACCGTGTGAATCATTTCTAAGTTGAAAGTACTCGTCTAAAATCAATCAATTGGTCAACATGGAGGATTCTTGACATTTCAGCTGTGAGCATATCATTTATACCACAAATGACAGGAACCAAGATGACAGAAGTGTTTGAGTGAATTATGTAAGTCCCCCTCCTACTGTGTTATAAATATCAAAACTCAACCGATAAATAGCACATAGTAGGAAATCTAATTTAAAATAAACATTTTCAAAGTATATTAACGTTAATAATAATAATTATTATTTTAATAATAATAAATCTAATTTAAAATAAACATTTTCAAAGTATATTAACGTTAATAATAATAATTTATTATTTTAATAATAATAATTCTTGCATTTGATATAGCGCTTTATCATTTATTTATTTATTTATTTATTTATTTATTTATTTATGTCTTCGAGATGTCTCAAAGTGCTTTACAGAATATACTGTATAGTGAATTAACTATATATTTTGTGTGAGAAATGCGGCAGCCAATTGTGCACAGCAGTGTGCCACAAACAGTCGTGGATTGAGTGACCAAATTATTTTTATTTCTTTTAAAGGAATTATTACCCCCAGAAAAGCGATCTGCCAATTGACTAACAACCGGGTCCCTATTTACTGCTAAGTAAACAAAAGCGTGTGGAGTAAGGAAACTTGCCCAACATTTCACCCTGCCGGGAATTGAACCCAGGTCTCTCGCTTGCGAGGAGAGTGCTCTAACCACTGAGTTACAGGACTCCAATACATATTATTCTAACCATGCGGGTGCTTTAGTACTTTACTCGCCATCCTCTTTCATTTCTGTCCAAAAGGGATTAGCTACCATCTATTAGGAATGGTGGAGGATTAAATGGATTTGAATGAGATTATTGGTTATTCACTTAAAATTACTAGTCAAAATGTATTCAAAGGGGTCTGTTTGATCTATTACAAAAATGTACTTGCTTTTATTGGGGAATATCTATCTAAAAAAAAAGCCACCACTGTCTAATAATACAATATAACATGTGGTACAGTACTATATATGATGAGTATATTATAATCATGACTATATAATTTAAAAACATATATAAAATATTGTTTAAAATCCTTATCAAGTGAATATTTCTTTGCACATTTCATTTATGTTTATTAATTCCTACAGGTGTTTAACTTCTGATGCAGAAGCACGGCCAGACATTGTGGAAGTAAGTGCATTAATCTCTGACATTATGATGAAGTACATGGATGACATTTGCACGGTGCAGCTAAACCTTGAAAAGAAGCTTGAAAGAGAGAGAAGGCGAACACAGAGGTACTTCATGGAAGCTAACAGAAATGTGATGACGTACCACCAACAACTCTCCATGATCTCACAAGTAAGCACTCTTTTCTAAATAATAATCCTTGCATTTGATATAGCACCGTATCAAGTCGTTGAGATGTCTCAAAGCGCTTCAAAAAGTAAAATATTTCTAAAAAGCTAGTGCTCGATAGTGTTACCTTATTATAGAGTGCAGAATGCGAAAAATTCTCAGAAAGTAAACTCTTTGTGCAGAACTTGTTTATATTCTTGTACATTCTGGGATTAATATGTTTAGGACTTTAGGCTTTTAGCCTAAATGTACAGTCCTAGCTGGCGGACTAAAATATGATACAATACAATACACTTTAGATTGATAAAGCGCCTTTCACGTCGGGAGAATATCACAAAGCACTTGATACTGCTCGGGGGGGCAAAACCAATACAGTTTTAATTATTTTTTCCAACTGATGTATCAGTACACCAATTTGGAGGATGGAAATGTGCATAAACTCTAAGCAGTGTAAATATAACTGTAACAATGTGCCCTCATTTCACTTTCAGCATATATTTACAAAGGCATTCTAATAATAAAATAATAATAATTTGGTTTAGAGCATTGTACATTGGATTTACTGAAAAGTGTAGTGACTGTGTATTTTCTAGGCAAACATTTTGCAAGTGAATATAATTATCTAAAATTAAAAATAAATAATTTTACCATAATAAAGCCTGCATAATAGACTATTAACTATAATAAAACCTTCATAAATTGACACTTCATCCAAACTGCGGAAGCAAAAGTATATCATGGGCATCCTAATCTAAATCTATTGTCACTCATTGCCTTGACAGGGGTGGGGGTGAAGAGATATTAGTGACAACTCAATGATGGATTCAAAATTCATCACACTGAATATTACTAAATGTGCTGGAACTGAATCCCTGACTGTTCTCCAAAGGCAAATTGTCTTTTATTCAACAAAAATCTCAAAAGTATACAATTGCCTGCTAACTGGCAGTTGAATTCGTGAGTCAGCAGTCCCGTGCCACAGACCTGACTTCATGGACATCACCATTAAGAGCAGGGCTGAGGGGCTATCTCCGATGTGTTTTAGGTGATTAATATCAAATGTACTGCTAAATTGATTCCGGTGTTTTAACAATCAGTACTGGTAGAACATGGAACTGGGTTCTTAGGTGTTCATTTTTTTATCAGCAAAAAGAACTGATCACATTTGGAAGTGGAGATGGAACAAATTCATACCCGCGGTGTTTAGACTTCAGAGTTACGAACCAAAGTGCTGCAGAAACCACCTCCTCAATAGTCTCAGTAGCCCAAGCTCCAGCGTAATTCACTTTCAAATCACATAGCTCCAATCCAGTGTTGCTGCAAAATGCACTCTATAAACAGCATCAGTGTGTGATTGCAGTCTCTCCCCACAGTGCATAATTTTTCACGCACAATCCAAAAAATATATGGAATTCATTATCATATTTGACAGTACCATTGGAATGATTTAATAGCTACTCAAATGTTCTCAAATTATATGTTGGTTCTGAAATTAAGGATTTGAATTGCTGTAAATATTATAATATTTTAAAGAGTTTTCCTCCAACCTATTCTCGTTTTTTGTGACCTCAGGAATTGCTAGATATTATTACATTGATAACACAATATTTCTTGCATTTGATATAGTGTTTCTTTGATGGTGTCACAATGTCTTAAAGCACTTTACAGGATTTACTGTGGAGTGCAGCACCTGCATATTTTGTGGGCACCTCAGTGTAAATCAGTCATAAAGTGAATGTCCAATTTTATCTGGGGTATTATTGGTCAGGACACCTGGAGAAACTCCTACTCTTTTTGAACAGTGCCACAGGACTTTTAACATCTGCTTGAACAGGTTGATGAGACCCTGATTTAACATCTCATCCTGAAGGACAGCACCTTCAACAGTATAATACTCCTCCAGTCCTGCATGGAGTTTCAGTCTAGAGTATAGACTATGAGCTCAAAATCCTGAAAGTTCTTGAACTCACAATCTTTAGACTCTAAGGTGAGAGTTCAGTTAACTGAGCCAAGCTGGTACTTTAATCAGGGAATTATTCGTAATTTGCAAAGTATGCAGTATCAGGTTGGTATTTTGTGTTATGAATTTGGCAGTAAAATGCTGTGCTTTTCACTAAATTAAAGGAACATTGTGACAAGTCAAGTCTTGCAAGCAGTAGCGAGGGAGCCAGCCTTAGAAGTGAGTCATCAGAAATAGCAGAGCTCAGTCCATTGGATGACATGCAGACACTACATGCCAAAGATGCTGATGACAGACTCAGTGACACAGTGTTCCTTGATGATAACACTCATTCAGCAGAGAACACTGAAAAAGGTATAGTAAAGGTTTCTTGACATCAGTGCATGAATAGAAATTATGACTAACAAAACATCCAAATTATCATAAATGTTATTTAATACAGAAAAAGTATAACAGATGCAACTAAATTTGGGGAATGTAATATCATGACACACCCCATGGACTGCCAAATAAAATTTCAGGCCGTTTGTGAACAATCACTAGGATATTAATAGTGCAATAGGTAATTCATATATTAATATTCTCTCTTGGGATAAATTCACATATCTACACACTTTGTCACATTAGAACCTGTAAAAGAATTACTTGTTTGATTATGGAAGTCTGTACAAGTAAATGAATGAGCTGTAAAATATCATCATGTCCCTCAGTTTAACTGAAATTCTAAGATTGGTGAACTTCTCTTTTGAGTTCAGATGTCTGTTCTGAAATGGATGATGACTTGGACACATCAGATCACTCCAACAGCTCCAGCCCTAGCCCCACAAAATATTCAACCTTGAGTAAGTAATAGGCATGTGATAAAATAATTAGTACCATCTAAGGGTGATTGTCTATTAATTTATTGTACTAAATGTATGTGGGAATTTCTAACATCAGGACCAAACAGAATATATATTTCAAGGAAATGTAATGTTATTGTGTTTGCGTTTTCTAAACTAGAAGCTGATGGGATATTTGCATGTCCGTACTATTCTAAACATACATGGAAAAATATTCTACCTCAGTCCAGATTCACTCTCGTTTGTGTAGGACTTCAGAGAGTCCAGAATTTGGCAAATTCTTAAATACGGTTTAACGGACTTCAAAGTTAAGACTGGATTCTGGTTGCTCTGAAATGTTACATTAGTCGAGTAAATCTAGAACTGGGTAGAATTTCTCTCCCATTATCTCCACTAAAATCTAGGCAAAACTAAACAAGCAGAACATGATAACACCACTTATCTTATTTTTGATGACAAATTAACTTTGAGAGTTGCAATCTTTTTAGCTGATTTCCTTCATTTTTCTCCGCAACTCCTCTTCTGCTGACTCTTCCAGGCTTTAGTTCCACAAGGCTGTGCTCATTCTTCATGTAGGAGACGACTTAGTGTGTGTCAACAGGCTAATCAAGTACAAAGCAAAATGTCTTAGTGTGGTCCTATTCGCACTCTACATTGATGCACAGGGAGGCACCAGCTGATACCTGACATTTCCCCCTTCTTAGCTCAGGTTGCCAAGTAAGATCACCTAACTCAGCATCGGGAATCAAACCTATGAATTTCTGGGCTGCAAAGCTTGGGTGGGAGGTAGAATGGCCGCATTCTCCCTAGATTGGATGATTAATCTCTGGGCCTTGTCCTTTCTATCTATTTATAGCTTAATGTCAAACCATTTGGGAAACCTTAAGTTTCATCATTTAAAATCAATTAGCTGACAGATTTCAACATTGGTATATTGACTAAATCTTACAGACATAAATCAATAAATATGCAGAGATATTGTTTAAAATCCATGTTGAACAGTTAGCTAAATATAGAACAAAGTCAAAATCTATTTTAGCAATTGAGCAGTTTTGTCACATCCATACTAAAAACAAATGAAGATAATCCTGAAATGTCAAATTTAAAGGAGTTGTGTTTCTTAATTAGCAATGTTGCTGGTAGTACACTGGAACTACATTGTAAAGGACTGTCCTCCTTAGAAGGCTAAAATCACATGTGCAGCGTCATTAGTAACTTGATGACATAGTCGACCATTTTTTAATGCATGAGAAGCCAACCAACATTTGAAGTGAGCCAGCAAAGCTATCAGTACTCATTTTTTTTGCTATATAAACGTTGGAGTCCACAGGTCCACACTCTTTGAAGCAAACCTGTGGTAAAATGAAGTGTGTTAAAATGGGATTCTTTTGTATATCATTGATTTTTAAAAATATATTGACCTTTTCTTTAAAATATTACAGTGATATTTCGTAAACGTTTTTATGAATCTTTTAGCAGTTAACTAATACACTGTTAATCACATCAACAATCTTGTGTGCTAGCTTAATGTTTCCTTTTCTAGGTCATGATTCTTCCTCTAACTTGTTGAGTCAGGGACAATCCACTCAGTCATCATCCAGACCAGGAGTAGTCCAATTCAGCCACAATTTTCACTCTCATTCCCTCGGAAACTCTGACTGCCTTGACATAACAGGTAGATTCCTTTTTCATTTTCATCTGGCTATTGCACTGCTGAGTGCAGTATTTGGATTTGATGAGTCTCTAAGATCTTTTAACATGTTTAATGAAATGGAAACAAAGTATACATCAGATTTATAAAATTGACATGAGTTTTAACTATGTGCAATATGATACATAATCTAAAACTTCTGTAAGGCTTGGAGGAATAGTTCACAAAATAATTATTAATAATAGTCAGATGTATTATACAGGTGGTCTCTCGATAATACTTAGTACAGCATAGAAACCAGTCAGACACCAATCTTGCTTGCCTCCTAAATTACAGATACTGTGAATAACATTATTTACGATACACTATCAGCATGTCACTCTTTAAAGATAGCTTAAGTTTTGCTTTTCATAATAATAATTCTTGCATTTGATATAGTGCGTTATCACATTATCAAAACATCTCAAACTGCTTCATAGGATTTTATTGTAAGATGATTGTGTATCTTTAGGTGAATACAGCAGCCAATTTGCATACAGCAATGTTGCACAAACACCCACAAAGTGAATGACAAGTTTACCTGGATGACTGTTGGCCAGGTCACTGGGAGAAACTACTTGTTTTTTGAAATAGTGCCGTGGCATCTTTAACTTCCACCTTAACAGGCAGAGTCATCCAAAGGATGGCACCTCTGACAATGCAGCACTCCCCCAGCAATGCAATGGAGTATCGGCATGGACTGAGCTCATATTCATGAATTATAATAATACAATAATAATAATAATCCTTGCATTTGATATAGCGCGTTTCAGGTCGGGAGGACGTCCCAAAGCGCTTCACAGAACACACTGTAGAGTGAATTGACTGTATATCTGTGGGCGAACGCGGCAGTCAATTGCGCACAGCAATGTCCCACAAACAGTCGTAGATTGAAAATTACCAATTTATTATTGTTTTTGGTTTTGGAGGGATTATTATGAGGCGTGTGGAGTAAGGAAACTTGCCCAAGGTTTCGCCCTGCCTGGAATTGAACTCACGTCTGTCGCTTGCAAAGCGAGTGCTCTAACCACTGAGCTACAGCTACAGGAATTATGATGATGTTTGCAAATAATTCAACCGCCTAAACTTATATTGGGTCTAATTTAATGATGACTGCTAGAAATAATTCTTCTATGGCGACATCTGTTTTTAATGTTCAATATCAGGTCTCTCCTTCTCTCCCCAGTCACTCTACTGCTAATAATAATCCTTACATTTTAGTTAGCACCTTTCAGGTCAAGAGACATCGAAATGGGCTTCACACTATTTTAATGTGGAGTGATCGTATTTTGTGGGCAAACATGGCAGTCAATTAGCACATGAATTTCTGCATAAATTTTTTATATTTTGGTTGGTAAATGTTAGGGTGCAGACCCCAGTTGCAGTGTAAATAAACCCAGGTTACAACAAAGCATTTATGATGGAATTGTATTGTGCAATGTTAAAGAACAATTAAAAAAGACCAACAGTCAGAACATACTTTTGATGTTTTTTTGTAATCCATTCCATCGAATGCAATTAATATTATTGATACCTATACTTTTTTGATGGATTCATTTGAAGTTCAATGCATTGAACCAAATGGTGAGAGGCAGGATACAGGCAAATCGGTCTGGACACCAAAATGTTTTTATTTTGCAACGCAATTTGCCAAAAATGGTGCGGAATAGATTTTATCATACAATTCTTTCACTTTATACAACAACAATTTCCCAAGAATTGTCCATAACCAACTGATGTTAAAAATAGTAAATTACATTAAGAGAGATTAATGGAAAAATTGGAAAATATGCCTTGTGTAAAACATTCAGCATTCCAATTAAAGTGCTGATCTGTTTGGGGTGATGTTGATAGCCTTGTATATTCAGCACATCACCTTTTATTATTTAAATTAAAGATGTATTTGTGATGATCTGATTTATCTTTGAGCCATGGGTATAATGCACTTTGAGTTATGTGTTAATACTCCAACCTGATCTGATTATTTGTTATCAAAGACAAACTAAGTCATTCATTATGTAAAACAATATATAACCTGTCAGTCTGCAGACGTGCAATTACTCACTTTTCATTTTTTTTTCTTAACAGCCACTTTGCCAAGAAGCATTAGTACTATTGGCACAGAGAGTCAGCATCAGTCTGGGTAAGTAGTCTGCCCATTCTGGTTCAGGTGTTGGTCTACTGATGCACACAGGATTCATGCAGTCTTTTCGACTGCAAGCTTTACAGAAGAGAGGGATATGCTTTTCTTAATAAATAGAATTGTCCAGAATATTTTTTTGTACATAAATAGAAAAACAGTTCTTCTCTTCCCCAATCCAGAAAGACCTTGCACTATTTCTGGGTTTTTTTTTGTTTTAAGATATAACTTTTTGTTTTGCCCTCCTACAGATTTACATTGAAAGTGAAATTTTCTACTGTATTTTGTCATCTGTTTTCATGTGTCATCTGCTTTTAGTTTACTTTCCAACTTCGCCCCATGAGGATTTGTTTCTGATAATCTGATGGTCATTGTGAATTGCTGCTTTTCTTCTATGAACCAAATTCTTTCTTCTATGATACAATGTCTCTTGTGTTCTGTGGGTTGAGGCTGTGGGTTGTGCCTCAATAGTGATTCCTGGATACAAGCAAAATAGAAACTCTTTTAAGAAAGAAAATCATTGTTTTTTTCTTGTGCGGTCTTTTCTATAGATTTGGACATGATTGGTTCTGTTCACATTTCGTGCTGCAGTGGCAAAAATAAATTTTCTTCCAAACCACCTTCCAATAATATGTGTGGTTAGCTGTTTTCTCCAGTGGGAATTTCTTCCAGGTCAATACATAACCAATAAAGGGACCCCCTGTTATAACACACCCTCCAAATAGCTCTGGCTTGCATATAATCCTGTGGATCCTTGGTAACAAGAAGTACAGTACACCTGGCTTCCAGCACTGACAGGGTGGCTTCTGAGCTAAACAAAAACTCTTAAAGGCATAACCACAAGAAGATTGAAAAGCGAGTTTAGGAGATTTTTTTTCACACAAAATTGTTGGGATGTGAAATGCCGTGGCAAGTAAGATGGTAAAGACAGAGTCCATTGTGGGTTTCAAGAAGGAAAGAGACAAGACACATAAAAGTTACAGGCTTGAAGGCGCGTGAGCAGGGCAGTGAGAATGAATGGACAGCTTGCTCTGACAGCCAGGACAGACTTCACAGATTGAATGACCTCCTTCTGTGCTGTAAATTTCTATGATTCTGTAATTCTAACTGCAATTCCTTTTCAGACCTGGAGAAAAGTCAGGGAGATCAAATACCAAGGCAAGACCAGGTACTGAATAAACCACATTTATTCTAAAGCAATTCTTTGATTTATTAGATTTGTTGATTGTCATTTGTGGAGTGATGCCTTGGTATTTTTCTTTGTCTTGCTTGTTTAGACCTCCTACCACTAGGTTTACTGCTGCCATTGCCTTCAGGTGGGATCAGAGCTCACTCCAAGAGAACAACAAATTCCTTCAGTGCAGGGTGGCAATGTCATAGTCTGCCAGATGTAATGCTTCGGAGACTGAAGGATCATGGTAGTTATATGAGATTTCAGGAAAGGGAAATAGAATTAGGGAGATTGTACAGGGAAAACATAAAGTGAGAGATTCATAGTGTTATTATCTAAAGAACAAAGTTCATAATACACAAAACGAGTATGCAGCTTTTGGGGGTAAATAATACTTTTTATTATTTGTTTAGATGAAGCAGCATCATGGTAACGTAGAGTTTACTAGCAATGATGTTGCGTTATGCTCTCAGCTTCAGAAAAGCAAACGTGCACTCTAAGTACAGGGCTGTGGAATAGTGAAAGTGGGAACTGGAAAAGGCCATTAGGTGCAATGACAACAACTTTGCATTTATATTGTGCCCTTCATGCAAGATAGTGTCTTGGAGTACAATAAGCCAATCGCTTTTTAGTGTTCCTCAAATGGGACTGGGAGGTAATTAGTTATATGTAAAAAAAATCAAGGAAATACTTTTGTTAATAATTCTAATATCTTGGACTTCTTTCACTTGATAAACACAAGTGAACAATCCCAGCTACAGTAAGAGTAGATTCAGTTTCCTGCAGCTGAGAGGATCCTGATCTTATCCTTTGTTATAAATTCTACTACTATTACTACTATTACTACAACTACTCCTACTACAACTACTACTACTATTATTACTACTACTATTACTACTACTGCGCGTGACCGGCATTGGGTCATCGCTACCTCCACAGCAGCCGATCACACGCAGTATCCCAAGCCTCCTGATGCTCAATGCCTGAATCAGCTGTGAACTATCATACCCAGGTGTGGCTTTGAAGCTCATGAGGCCATCTCCAAGTACAGTCGAGTCTCGAGTCATGGTGTGACTGAACATCAAGTGCGAGAACCTAGTGCACAGGCAATATCAATTCTCCTTAACTAAAATTGTAGTTTTAGCTGAAGTGGAGGTTCCTAGCTGTTTTAGCTTTACTTTTAAAGTTTATAATAAAATAATAATCCTTGCATTTGATATAGCGTTTTTCACGTCTCCTAGATGTCTCAAATTCGCTTAACAGAATATACTGTAAAGTGAATTGACTGTGTATTTGTGGGCAAAACGTGGCAGCCAGTTGCGCACAGAAGTGTCCCACAAACAGTCATGGATTGAAGTGACCAATTTATTAATGTTTTTTTTTCTTGAGGGATTATTTTCGGGCATGTGGAGCAAGGAAATCCTAGGTTTCGCCCTGCTGGGAATTATACCCAGGTCTCTTGCTTGCAAGGCGACTGCTTTAAACACTGAGCTACAGGACTCCATGTTATCTGTGGATAGTACAGAATAATTACATTACCTATGTAAGCACATGTTCAGAGTTGTAAAAGGAAATTTTAGGACATGTAAGAGGAAGCTAGGAGGTTCTTCTTTATACAGAAGGTAATCAACAACTGGAATGGGTTACCAGGAAGGATGGCTAAAGCCATGTTACTGGACTCATTTTACAAATAACTTGATGCTGTATTGGGAAGATGATGCAAATGGTATTTTGGAAGGATGTGATCAAATATGTAGTAGATCCTTTTTTAAATGTCATCATTGGTAAAAACTTCATCTGAATCTCTCTTGTGAATATGTGAAGAGTCCATTAACAAATTATAAATGATAATAAGTGGTGTTTAAAAAAAAGCAAAAGCAATGATACATTATTTTTTGCAAAAATTATATCAATGTATTCAAAAAAAGTACACAAATAACTGTTCATAATATCAGGGGACGGATAATAATAATAATTATAATCCTTGCATTTGATATAGAGCCTTATCACGTCTTCAAGATGTCTGAAATGCTTCACAGACAATATTGTAAAGTGAATTGACTGTATATTTTATGGGTGAAAGGCAGGAGCGAATTGCACATAGCAGTGTCCCACAAACATTCGTGACCAAATTATTATTATTATTATTTTTTTTGAAGGGATTATTATCGCTGGAAAAGTGATCCGCTAATCGACTAACAGCCGGGTTCCTACTTACTGCTAGGTAAACAGAGGCGTGTGGAGTAAGGAAACCTGCCTAATCTTTCACCCTGTCCGGGAATCAAACCCAGGTCCTTTGCTTGCCTTGTCCTCCTCTAACCACTAAGCTACCGGACACTAGATAAGAGTTTGGGGCTGATTGATGAGTTTTTGTGGAAAGTACAAACTATCCCTTTCAGGGTAGTATTGTGCTGGTATTTACAAGGTAAAACGACTTCTAGAAATGTAATACAACTTGATTCCTTTCCTTTAATTAAAATAAGTCATTATATTCATATCACCCCTTGTGTGCTTCCCTCAAAACACTTAGTTTTGAGTTGAAATCTGATTGTGTGACCATTATATATTCATATGAAGAAACCGAAGTTGACAGTTTATCTTATATGATTCTCATTTACAGCATCAGCAGGAATAGCAGTGTCGCAAAGGAAAGTACGTCAAATCAGTGACCCTATCCAACAGATTCTCATTCAGCTTCATAAAATTATCTACATTACCCAGGTTTGTAAATTATATATTCCAATTAATATGATTCATTACATTTCTCTCACATTAGTGTTTATTATTCATTGCTGTTAAATTTACATCTGGCCAGCATTCATTTTGAGTAAATGCTATTCCATTGGTTTCAGTTTCTAAAAAGCACAACCTAAATTTAATGTGGTTAATAACCGCATGATTTATGGCACTGAGCTTGAAACAAATTGTCATTTTATTCCCAATTGAATATCATCTGCAGAAAATATGAACGGAATGTATACAACATTTTTTTGGTGTAAAGCACTTTTCTGCCCTGTTATGAAATTATCTTGCAATTAATTTTATTATTTTAGATTTAATAGCTTTAGCAGTATAAATTATTTACTGGTCTTGTGTCAAATGTTTTTTTCTGGATCCACACTGGGAGGTTTGTAAGGTTGTAACTAATAAAGGCTTTAATATGTGTCTTTTCAGTTTCCCTTTCCCTATATTCTAGACAAACAATTTAATGAAGAACAACAACAAATTACACTTGTATAGAGCCCTTCACGTCGGAAAGACGTCCCAGGGCACTGGACATTCAGGAGTTGGAGCTAGGAGTTGAAGTCAGAAGGGGAGGAGGGCAGTGGGGGTGGGATGGTGGCTGAGGGCCAGGTCAAAGTGGAAGTTCTTCAGATGGGACTTGAAGGATGCAAGGAGAGGGTGAGGTGCAGGGATTGTCGGATAGAGTTCCAGAGTGTAGGGGCAGAGATGCTGAATGCCCGACCACCAATGGCGGGGCGGGAAGTGTGGGGCTGAAGCAGACCAGTGTCCGCCGAGTGGAGGGACCAGACAGGCTGATATAGGGTTATGAGGTCGGAAAGATAGGGAGGAGCAAGACTGTGGAGGGCCTTGAAGGTAAGAACGAGGGTTTTGTACTCGATTCTCTGATGAATGGGGATCCAGTGAAACTGGGCAAGAACAGGGGCGATAGGTTCCCGGAGCCTGGTGGGGGCGAGGATATGAGCTGCTGACTTCTGAATAATCTGCAGCTTGTGTAGGAATGAGTTGGGAAGTCAGGCAGTTGGTGTAGTCAAGCCGGGACATAATGAAAGCGTGGATCAGGGTCTCGGCGGCCTGTGATGAGAGGCAGTGGCGGAGGCGACCAATGTTGTGGAGGCGTGGAAAGGCAGAACGAGTCACGGCACGAATGTGGGGTTTGAAGGATAGCTGAGGGTCGAAAAGGACACCAAGGTTTTGGATTGGCTCGGTGAGCTGAATAGTGCAGCCATGAATGCTGATAGTGTCAGTGACTGATGTGAGGAGGCGCTGCCGGGAGCCAAGCAGGAGGGTCTCTGTCTTGCCAACACTGAGCTGGAGGAAGTTGGCTCCCGTTCAAGACTTGATGTCAGACAGACAATTAGCCAGGACATCAACAGGCCTGGAGTCGAGGGTGGAGGCGGTGAGATAGAGTTGGGTGTCATCCGCATACATGTGGAAATTGACCCCATGCCTGCGGATGACATCGCTGAGCGGGAGCATGTATAGATTGAAGAAGAAGGGACCGAGGACAGGGCTGCCCCACGTGATAGCGAGGGGGCTAGAGGAGAAGCCGTTGGTGGCCATGAACTGCAGGCGGTGGGAAAGGTAGGATTGGAACCAGTTATGAACAGAACCATTGAGGTGGAGGTGAGAGGATACGCGATGGAGAAGAAAAGAGTGGTCAACAGTAACAAAAGCGGGCAAGAGGTCGAGAAGGACGAGGAGACAGAGAGAGCCCTGGTTGCAGGTGGACAGAATCATTTGTCACTTTGACCATTTCGGTCTGTGCTGTGAGCAGCACAAAACCCAGATTGGAGGGTTCATGGAGGGAATGCTGGGAGAGGAAAGAGCGAAGCTGGGAAGCAACGACTCGTTCCATGATCTTTGATAGAAAAGGAAGGTTTGAAATGAATCGAATATGTTAGAGACCATTTGTTTTTAGAAAAGATGGTGCTCTGTATTTATTGCATTAGTAATAAGTCTATAGTTAACTTTGGAATGTTCAAAATTGGTTCAATGAAGTGGTTTTATTTGTACTTTGTAGTAAGTGACAGTTAAGGAATTCAAGGCCGAAAGTGGTTACAGATTGTGCATACTGAGGGTTGGTCGTGATGTTCCTTAGTAGCAGGCACATTGGGAGGCATTGAGAATCACAACATATGAGTGATGCTGGTTTATTATTCCCATTGCTGTATTAAACAAGATGCCTGTTAATTTTTTTCTATGATGTTGAGAAAAGCATGGATTTCATTAACATGTTAAATATTTGGATTCCAATAACTGCAAAATAAGGGTGACCTTTTTAAAAATTATCAATCATCAAATGGACAATACCTTTAAAAGCAAAGCTTTGAATATAATATTGTCAAACTTCAAGCTTATTTTGCAAAAATATTTATTTTTATTTAATATAAAAATCCTTGCATTTGATAAAGGGTTGTCGAGATGTCTCAAAATGATTCACAAGACATTCTGTAAAGTGGTGGAGCTGGATTTTGTGGGCAAATGTTGCAGCAATTTACCCAGAGCAAGGTCCCTAAAACAGCCATGAGTGACTGACCAACTTTATTTGGGGGATCATTGGCCAGGGCACCAAGAGAAACTCCCTTCTCTTTTCGAGCAGTGTTATGGGATCTTTGTTTTGGTCAGCCGGGTGTCTGACACATGCGGAAAACACTCACCATCCTTAAGAGTATCCAAACCAAACTGAGATTTCCACACATCCCACTTACACATGGAAATCACAGAGTCAGATTGTTGGAATGGTATCCACACTCTCTCCCTGGAAGGACACATCCTACTTACCTAATTCCAGAAAGTATGAGGCGCAGGTTGGCAAGAGCCAAGGCTTGGGGATCCCAGAGTGTGCGTTGGGGTACTACTGGGCCTGAGTTTAACATTTCATTTGAAGGATGGCACTTCCAACAACACAGCACACCCCCAGCACTGCATCCATGTCAAAATCACTGCATCAGAGTGAACTCAAAATCCCAACATAGGGCAGACGCACTGATTTTAATATAATGTATTAGAGTTAATTTTAACGACTTGCTTGCCAGCTTGCCATAACCTTATAATATTAAAAAATATATATTTCTGAAGCTGTTAGTTCGAGTTCTGTGGGAGCAGTCAATGGTTGCAGAGGTTGCTGTTATTAAGTTCTTTGTGATATGAATGAAATATTCCAGCTAGTTACATTTGTTGGTGGCACAATGATTAATAGTGTAAATGAAAAGTTCCCTCACATTTCAAGCAATTTGATTTTCCTTTTTTCACAGCTTCCACCTACTTTACACCACAACTTTAGAAAAAGTGTTATTGAGAGATTTAAGAAGTCGTTATTCAGTCCACAGAGCAATCCCTGCAACTTGAAAGCAGAGCTTAAAAAGGTATGTCATCATACCTTGGGTAAAATGATCAAATGCAGACTCTAAAAACTCAGCATTCAATCATTACTCAAGTGTACTCACAAACCAAATTGAAAAAAATCTTACTGAGAGCTTTGAATCACTTTTATTAATTGCAGAACCTTGACGCATACTGTTTAGCTTTCCCTTCCGTTCCTGAAGGGGATGGTGACTCTGTTACTCAGGCATGAGTAACCCTTTAACACTTTATCCAAATATCCTAAGCAGTAAATAACAGCAGGCAATATGACTTCAAGGAAAGAGGAAATCAAAGATATAGCCAATTTGGCTCTCACCCAAAGTATACACACACACACTTCCTAGCAGAAACGACCGGTTAGCAATTAGGAAGCCCAAGCAGAATGAGGTCAACTAAGGTAACCCTCCCACTGTCTCAGCTGTGGTTAATTTAGTGCAGACTGGGTATTGTACAGAGAATTTACACATCTGTATGGAGTTTCAGTTAAGTGACGGTGGCTTTCCCAAATGAAGCAGTAGAGAAGCTAATGCACATTTTGGCGATGGTGAAGTCTGTTATGGTTCAGACTGTGTCACCTGGGGAAGCTTGTTTGACATTGATTGATATTATGAATATTAAAAGTGGTTTTAGCTTTTTTGCTGATGACACATTGATTATTTGCTCAATCCAGTATTTAAAATTAGTGGGCTGGGAATACTATTATGCTACCAATTTACAGACCAACCCAGCCATAATAATAATAAACCTTGAATTTGATATAGCACCTTATCATGTCTTCGAGACATCTCAAAGCACTTCACAGAATATATTGTAAAGTGAATTGACTGTATATTTTGTGGGTGAAACAAGGCAGCCAATTGCGCACAGCAGTGTCCCACAAAGAGTCGTGGATTGAGTGACCAAATTACTATTATTTTTTTGAAAGGATTATTACCCCAGAAAAGCGATCTGCCAATCAACTAACAACCGGGTTCCTACTTACTGCTAGAAAAAGAGAGGCGTATGGAGTAAGGAAACTTGCCCAACATTTTGCGTTGCTGGGAATCGAACCCAGGTCTCTTACTTGGGGGGCGAGTGCTCTAACCACTGAGCTACAGGAGTATCAGGCTTCTCGGGGTGACCATATTTCTAGACAATTAATATTTTTACTTCTGGGCCAACAGGCTGTTCAACCCTGTTTCCATTGCTACCGTTCAACACTGCTTGCTTTTCATTCAAACCTCGTTTGACAGAGAAGGAAGTAGTTTACTGTGAAAGGGATTTTCAAACTACATGGTAGTTATGCAATACTTGTGATGATATAATGTGTCTAAGTTTTCAGTAAGTGCTTTGAAAAGTAATGAAAAGGTAAATATAGTACTTGAAATTGTGGAAATTGATTTATCTAAGCTCAATTCTTTCCTATTTCTTTGAGGCTTCAGCCAGCACATGTAACATGTTGAAACAGGTGTGCTTTATTTCCTAATTTTTTTTCTGGCAGCTTCTGCAGGGTTCTCCTGAATTGATTGAGCTGAACTTTGTGACAGCAGATTGTAGTTTAATGCATCAGACATCAAGAGAGAATTCAGTGTTTCCTGGAGACAGGGCAGGTAATATGTGCAAGTTTTTTTTACTTTGGGATCAGACAGATGTATTATCTTATTCTGTACATCCATGTTTCCAATGAAAGGGGTTTTGAAAACAGCTGGATGGAAATCCTCACAGTACTTATCCTTCTGAGGAAGAAGAACAGAATAGCTGCACTCAACTCTGCCAACATCATATCACTGTATGATGGGGAAACTGGAGATTGTAACCAGACAAAACTGCAGCATCTTCTAACCACATGCTGTCGTATGCTAAATGAATTTAGTTCAACTGAGATATTGGCAGAAGTGTAATGACTCCACAGTTAGAATCATACATTTCAATGTTTATATAAATGTGTTCTTAGTGGGAAACTTCCAACATTTGCTTGGAAACAAGTTTAGTGCTATTGAATCATTACAAGTATTATTAGGTGACAACAATAGCAATTAGCACTTGTATAACACGTTTCACTTACAATAACACCTTGAAATGCTTTCCAAACATGAGGGGGATCTTACATGTTAGTGACTGAAATCACATTTGGTGGCTGTTAAGTTTTAATACAGTTCATTTTCCTAAGTGAAAACTTATTGGCCAAGGGTTTATTTTGAGTTGTTTATGCCTTTGATTTTTTTGTGCACGTCTCTTTTTCCTCATTTCTATTTTATCTGGTTTATATAACTAAATTATGAAGAATGAGCTATAAATCAAACAGCTCACTGCCTAGCCTCGAGCTGTGCATTCTGGACCGTAACAACTCTCTGTGTAAAACAATGTCTCCTTCTCTCCCCTCTGATTCTTTAGCCAATTATCTTAAATCTATGTGCCCTGGTTACTGACAACCTGCCAGTGGAAACAGTTTCTCCTATCTACTCTATTGACACCCCTCATAATTTTGAACACCTCTATTAAATCTCCCCTTAACCTTCTCTGCTCTAAGGAGAACAATCCTAGCTTCTTTAGTCTCTCCACATATCTAAGTCCTTGGTCCCTGATACCATTCTGGTAAATCTCCTCTGCACCCTCTCCAAGTCCTTGACATGCCCGACAGTGGAATGTCAGAATCGAACCAGCCCTCTGTGGCGGTCTCTGTAGTCCAGTTCCTGAGCCAAGCAGGTCCATGGTATCCCAGGGCACTGCTAAGGACAGCATAGCCATCTTGGCTCATCGGCAGGACCTGGAAGGGCAAACCAGTCACTGGGGGCAGGGAGTCATTCCACTCAGTTCCTGTTAACCCTGCAGCCAAAGCCCTAACAGCTGGGGTGGTCCTAGCTGGCCAAGCAGCGGGAAAGCAATAAATATATCACTGATAACTCTTGACTGGTTTTGATTAACATTCTGCCCATGTGATGATTATCACCAGTGAAAATTATCATGTCACTAATCACATATTTTATCCTCTGTTTTGTCTTTGAACTTCATTTTAATAGATCAATATTTCTGCATTCAGGCTCTGATTTCGACTATGTTAGCCACAGAGATTAATCCTGAAGATAAGCAACAAAGTACTGATCTTGATCTTAGCTTCTAAAGCTTAGCTAATGTTGTCTTACAAACTAAAGTGAGGTTTTTACTCTTAAGTGCATCCATGGGGAAACTTTAATTATGGGCTATTATACCACAACAGGTAAACTGGGCATAGATAGAGGTCATGCATATGTACACTTTCAGTCAACCTGAACAATATAACTGCACACTCTAAATTATTTTACATAAATGTGGTAATGCAATTTATAGCTAAACTGTTATTAGGGTCAAATTCATGATATGTTGACTGCAGGTCAAGCCCATGAATCATTAAAATTGCACGTTCAACTCGTTTGGATAAACAGGCCAATCAATGACACAAACAATCAAGCTGCCAAACTCAATTATTCATATCAAAACAAAACTCTATTCATAATCTTTTGAAACATTTATGGATTACATATTAACCCTGCACATTGCCCACCTCTCTGATTTTAACTTCATGCCTAATGTTGCTTCTTAACATTTCATTTACGTGCCTGCCGAATCCAGCATATTCAAGCAGCTGAAACAAATACTTTTTCAGTGCAAAAAGTAATATTGATGCCTCCAACTGCAATGTATAAAATAAGTAAGTTCACAAACAACAGTGATAGAAAAGCACACATCAGTCATGTTGCGAATGTTGAGATAGGTTTCATTCAGTCAATACTGATCCCCAGTATTAAAAGAATGAACTATGATGAATGGCTAGATATGTTAGCTCTTGAAAAGGTTTATTGTGGAGGGGACCTGATAGAAGTAAACAACATTTTTTTGGCACAGAAAGCCATTTGGCCCATCGTGTCTATGCTGTTGCTATCTTTGTGTTGTTTATTGTTATTATATGTCAAGTGTAAGGCTTATTATTATTAATAATAATCATTATTCAATCTTTACATTGATAAAGCCCCTTTCAAGTCAAAAGACATCTCAAAGTGTTTCATAGGATAAACTGTAAAGTACAATGACTGTGTATTTTGTACGCAAATGTTAATCCCATTTTCTAGCCCTTTTCCCATATCCATTAAACCCCTAACTTCTCGGATGCTTATCCAGTTTACATTTGATCTAGCCTCACTTGTGGTTACTACTTCGTGATTTATTTTTCTTTCACTTTCCAATCACTTGTGGTAATCGTAAAGATAAGACTTCGCAAGGCAAAATGGCACAGGTTCAAGGTTGTAGAGGGCAACTTTAGGCTAGACACTAGGAACCTATTTACACCAGGGGTAATTAGTTGCTAGAACAGGTTATCAGGAAGTGTAGTTGAAAGCTGAACACTTGACTCAATTGAAAAACATTTTGATTATGTTAAGGGAAGGGATGAGTATACTGGAAAGATGAGATCAAATGGGTCAAAGAGCTTTCTTCATCCAAACATCTATTGTGCTGTGTGAAATGACAGTGTTTTGGATGGAATTCTAATCAGCAGTCGTGGAGTAGTGGAGTAACTAATTTTTTCCTATGGTGCTTTTTGAATAAGAGCCTTTATTTGCTGTTCTATGTTTTTTGTCTGTTTTTTTCTTGCAATGACGCATTCTCTGTTCAATTTCAGTGAATAGCTACAGCTACGAATATGAGGAGGGAATAACATACGAGCAGATGCAGGTTGGTGCTATTTTATTTTCCATGCTGAAATGTTTGTCTTCTCCACATTACTTCTGTACAGGAAGTTACTCAAATCTATTAGAAATTTAATCAGTTATTTTTGCAGATTATATATGAAAAGAAACATATTCAGATTTTCATCATCCAAAAGTGCCACGTGTTCAAATATTCTGTTGCTTGTTTGTTCTACAGACGATTATTGAAGAGGTTCTAATGGAAAGCGGCTATTATGATATCCTGAACACAGTGAACAGGCGAGTGCATAAAGCTCCACTCATAGTTAATTATTTATATTTAGTTTAAAACCTGGTGGAAATGGTTTTCAAAGCCCCTGCAACCCTCTCATCTACAGTCAGTATAAGGGGTGGTTAACATAGGAGGTTCAGCAAAGTTAAACTGGTGAGGAAATTACAAGACGAAAGCTGAACTTTGTGCACTCTGCCTTGCAAAGAACATTGACATATTGGAGAGATTTCAAAAAGAAAGAGCTAAGTTGTGAGGACAGGTTTGCAAGTCTGAATTTGTTCTGGGAATGAGACTGAGCTATAACCTAGGACTTGCTTTAAAATGATGCTGTGAAAAATGTGATTATATGCTAATCATTACATTGTTGAAGACTGTAGTCCAACAGTGGTTAATTAATTGTCGGGTATTAATTCTACCCCAACTCCGGCACAGTGATTTGGCACAAACCTTCCACTTCCAATGCTGATGTTGAAGTAAGCAGATTTAGAGTCCCATAGCTTAGCAGTTAGCCTGCTTGCTTCAAAATCGAGAGGATCCAGTTTCAATTCCCAGGCCAGGCAAAACCTTAGGCAAGTTTCCTTACTCCACGTGCCTCTGTTTACCTAGCAGAAACCCGGTTGTTAGTCGATTGCCGGATCGCTTTCTGGGGATAATAATCTTTCTCCTCCGAACAAAAACTTTCACTCGATGCACGACTGTTTGTGGGATACTGCTGTGTGCAATTGCTGCCGAGTTTCGCCCACAAATGCACAGTCAATTCACTTTACAATATATTCTGTGAAGCGCTTTGAGACGTCTAGAAGACATGATAAGGTGCTTCCTTAAGGTGATAAGGATTAAAATTTGACTTAAACGATGAGAGGAGAACCAGAGAGAATAGGTTACAATTAACAAGGTATTGAAGGACTAGAAGCCTTTTTTTTACACAGAATAGCAGGTCTGTGGAGCAGTCTGCTTTAAAAAAAGCTGTTTGTGCTGCTTTGATTAATTGCTTCAGAAAAAAATGGAAAGATATGTGCATGAGGGCTGTGTTGAAGGATATATGGATATCGGATTCAATAATGAAACGTATTCTAGTTTGTTCCAAAATGCACAGCTTTAGCTCTCTTTCTGTATTTGTTAAAGGGCTGTAAATTGATAAATTGGAGTCAGCCAGGTTACATCAGAAATATAGGAAAAGGCAAGGACATTAGAAACAAATCATGAAATTTTGTCTGTGTTGTTTTCCGCAGCTGACAACACAACCGAATTCACTGTTCACAAAATGTAGGTAGAACATGCCTTATCGTAAATTACAGATATTATGCAAAGATCTATCTCGGACCTATTTTACACATTCTAATGAAAACAGTGCTGAAGCTAAGACGTAAAACTTTGTTTAAGAAATCCTTACACTTTACATCTTGGGGTAAATTTTGTGTTGTTCATTATCATGTTCCAAGTGCATTATTAAGACAAGGGACTCACTTTTTTAAAAATATGCTTTTTTTTTAACTGATTAGTATTGGCATAAAGTCTCCTTATTTACTTCAGTAATGAGCATACTAGTCCCTGGTCGCATAACCATACAGCTGCCAGCAATTTGGTTAAAAAAATCACAAGGGCAGCCCTGGTCGTGGTGTACAAAGGGCAGTAGCTTCTGGACTGGGAACATGTTGATTTGAATCTTGGCCTCAGCCGGCCTGCATAGTAATGCTAAATTAGTTCCAGCTTTCCCATTAACATCAACCATTTACTGGTCATGGCCCCTCTTCAGCACCCTCTATAACAATAATCCTTGCATTTGATATAGCGCCTTTTCACGTTTTCTAGCCGTCTCAAAGCACTGCACAGATTAATCTGTAAAGTGAATTCACTGTACATTTTGTGGCCGAAATGTGGCAGCCAATTGCGCACGCAGTGTCCCCTAAACAGTCGTTGATTGAGTGACCAAATTATTATTATTTAAATTTTTTTTTAAGGAATTATTACACCCGGAAAATCGATCCAGTAATCAACTAACAACCGGGTTCCTACTTACTGCTAGGTAAACAGGCATGTGGAGTAAGGAAACTTGCCTAAGATTTTGTTCCTGCCTGGGAATCGAATCCAGGTCCTCTCGCTTGAGGCGAGTGCTATAACCATGAAGCTACAGGACTCCGACTAAAATGCAGCACTCCAAACTCGCAGGCAGCAATAATTCAATTTGCTTCTCCACTTAGGCATACAATACAGTGACCTTCAATTTTTTCTGTCTCAGGAATCACACTTACCCTTGGACAATCAAGAACCATCTGACTGCAAGACGCTAGCTTTCTTTAATCAGAAACTCTCCTGGGCTTCACAACAGAACTGCCTGCTTGTGGGATTACAGGAAAGACTGAACTCCACAGGAATTTTCATATTTACTGGAAAACGTAGATAATTGCACATTTGACAGATACTGCATTACTTTATATTAAATAAATAGGGAACTAAATGGGGGGAGTGAAAACAAATGTGTATTCAAACACACTCTACAGTATATACTATCAAATATTGCCATCTAATTTAAATCCTTAAAATATTCATTCTTTTGGGCTAATCATATGAAATTCAGTAGTGTAAGGGCTAGTATTGCTATGCAACAAAATATTATGCATAAGAGCTCAGGCTGATATTAGCATTACATTCTTTTGCCTAAATTAAATAATTGTATTGCTGTTTCCTCTCTTGGCTTGCTGCTTCAGATGGTACAGTAGACTGCATGCATAGCTTATCAATCAACCTGATAACCTATCCCTCGAAAGGTGGTCTCTGTATACAGTCTACTGTTCCATCTGGAGCACCAAGCCACAAGAGGAAACTGCTCCTTGAGGGATTTATTACCGTTGGATTTAGCAACAGGTAGCATTGGATAAACTCTTACCATAATGCACAGTACCTTAATGTATAACATCTAAAATTGTTTTAAAAAATCAGCTATTGCAAAAAGGGTAACATTGAACAGTACTGAATTAGGAATTGTCCAACTTTTGCTTTAAATAGGTATGCACCACTCTTTGGATTTATTTAAATTTTATTTCCCCCACTTAAATATTATTTCAGTGGTGTTGAAAAGTGCTGCTCAGGTAAGCGATAACAGTACTAGCTCCCAGCTGCTGAAAGAAAGGCTTTACAAGGTAAATTGTGTTTCCTGCAGAGATCTCCTGTACACTACAGTATCTCATAAGCTCAAGATTTCCGAGCTGAAGTCCTGTGAGTCAGTATGATATTCATGAGATTCCCTGCTTTTTGCAGCCATGAGAAAGGATGCTTTTTCAACATCTGTATAGATACTTACTGTATTGAGCCAATGGGATACTAAGATTGGCTGATTCGGAAGGCCAAAATGGAATCCAGTGGTCAACTATCCTCCATTCCCCACCCCCTGCCCATGTATAGAGCACGTGCAAGTCATTCGTTGCTATTTGTACAGACCTTCAAACATTAAAGGACACTTTCTACTTCAATAAAGAAACCAGTCATATTTGTGTTGGCAAAGCATTGCTGGTTTCATTTCTACAAGATGCAGAAGCAGCTTGTCTTACAAAGGGATTCGTAGTTGTTCAAGGTATTCTCAGGCAGATGAAAGAATGATAGCAACCTGATTAGAACAAGATTAACCACAGTGATAGTTGAGTAATCAAGATTGTAGTGGCCAAGGATCCAGCACCATCAGAAGATATTTCTGACTTAGTTTGAAGAACAAAAGACAAAGCGGGTAGGTACACTTTGTACTCATAAATGAGAAATATTGGCATTCAATTGGTAACACTTGCTTGATCAGTTGTCCATGAGACAGGCTGTCTATACATGTCTGCTCAGTTTTGTTTGTGCGAATGAATGTACAGAAAATGTCAAAGATTTCTTGATTTAAACTTCTCTGAGCATCAGTGTGTCATTCAAAGTAAATTGCTGACACAGAACAAGACATATTTGGGAGAAAGTTTACTATCATATATTTTCTAACATACTGTGCCATATTACTCAAAATGAAATGTAAATACAGTAGCAACTAGTGATCCAGTTGTAGCATCAGCATTGGTTGTGGCTGATTCAATATCTGTAAGTTTCTATTGGTGTTGATTATTTTTCCTAATTTTAGCAGAATTGCATATGGTTGCAACACATGTATTTTAACCTGAAAATTTGAATTCTTCATTTTCAGAATACAGTACTTTGCTGCTATGTAATGAAACTAAATACAATAGATTGAAGTCACGTCTTAAGTTGCACTAATATCACTCAATTTTAATTGATAAAAGCTGCTGTTTCTGTGACTTTCTATCTAACTAAGGATGAGGATCTGCTACCTCATTGTCAGTATCCCAGTATTACTAGTGCATAAAGAACATCATTCGTTTCTTAGTTCTATGACCCTGTGACCAAGTCGTTAAGAGTCTTTGCTCGTGTTTATAAGTCTCAGAAGTTTCCTAATGTCATGCAGCCAGGTTCCTTCTGGAATTTGGCCGTCTACCAGTCACTTCTGATTGTGACGTCACTACATTATTTTAAATAACAAAGAAAAGTGAGAAAAATGTTCACCATTTTTAACTGTTAATGTAATAATAATGATATGATGTTTTGCACTCTTAGATCGTTCAACAAAAGATTTTGTATGTAGAGAATAAATTTAATTATTACTCACCTGTGGTGTGCAAATGCAGTGAATAAATGTATTTTAAATATGGTTTCTATTCATGTTTGCAACATGAAAAACAATATATTAAAAGGGATTTACAAAAGTTGGTATGTTTTATTTTTGTTATACTTAAGAATTCTTTTTATTGTACTGAATGTTTAAAAATAAAATGTATGATGAAAATTTGTTTTGTGTTCTTTTTCAATTTTAAGGGGTTCATTTAATCTAGTAGTCAAATTGATTCACTATTTGACTAGGAAACAGAATTAAAAAAGAGACATGAGTTTTAACCAACAAACATTACTTTGCTTCCCTTTCTCATTTTAAGCAGAATTCAGCTGGACACAAACATGTTTAGCACTTGGAATGATATGGCTTTAGATAGAATCTCTTGTGCATGTGTACATAGAAACATGAGAAAATGGGAACATTTTGCCATTCAACCCACCAGGCCTATGCTACCAGTTTGTTAGAATTTGTCAGATCATTTAATCTTAATCCCAACTATCCCTCTTCTAAATATCACTGTTAATTTAACTCTACAACAACAACAAAATTACATTTGTATAGCGCCTTTCAAGTCAGGAGGACGTCCCAAGGTGCTTCAATCAAGAAATACTCCTGACCTCTAACCACCTCAGTCCTTATTTTAAGGCTATGCCCCCCTTGTAATGCATTTCTCTACCAAAGGGAAGAGTTGTCTACTATCTAACCTGGAAATTCCTTTCATTAATAATAATCCCTCCAAAACCAAAAACAATAATAAATTGGTCATTTTCAATCTACGACTGTTTGTGGGACATTGCTGTGCGCAATTGGCTGCCGCGTTTGCCCACAAATATACAGTCAATTCACTTTACAGTGTGCTCTGTGAAGCGCTTTGGGACGTCCTCCCGACGTGAAAAGCGCTATATCAAATGCAAGGATTATTATTAATTACACACCTGAATCAAATCACCTTTAACCTTTGTTGAAAGGAGTATAAACTAGGTTACCTAACCTCTCACTAGCTCAGTCTGTTCAGCCCTGGTGTTAATTGTCATTTGGTTACCCTTGAAGACTAACATATTCTTCCTAGGAATTGGGACCTAAAACAAAACACAATACTCAAAAAAGACTGAATTCAACAATTTACTGAATTCTGGACTTTCTAAAATGCTAAATAAAGTAAATCTTGATTCAGGCACAATGTCTTCCCACCTGCTTCGCCAAATTCAGAGCTGAGAAAATGTGATTTTCCAATGATAGGCCCCCAGAGACAAACTGGTTAAAGCAGCAAAAAAGCAGTTACTGTAAAGCAGTATGAGAGGATACAGGCACAAAATTAGCGAATCTCCAGTGAGACTAAAATAATCCTTGTTCCCCAGAGAGTAGAATGTGGAACAGACCCTCAGTGAAAGTTAATGCTGCTTTAATTAACATCATTGGAAATAGGTTGTATCTCAATAGAAATGGTATTGAAAGTCAGAAGAGGAAGTATAGCTGGAGATGATCCAATGCTCTGCTGCACAATGGTTCCTGAGCTGCTGGGACATGAAAAGTAAGCAGACATCATTAAATAATGTAGGAGGAAGGATAGATATGCTTAAATTGC